AACGTGTTAAACATTTTAAGCAACACAAAAATTATATATGATAGGTTAGATAAAGTAGATCTAAAGGTTAATGATTATGCAAAAAAAATAAAGATATGAGAAAAAGGCGTAGAAGAAATCAAACGAAGCTTAAACTTTCACGAACACCTTTAAAAAAAAAGTAAAAAAAAAAACATAAATCTGGCATCGATAAGCTAAATAATAGTTCCGACTATGTTAAAATAAAAAGTAAACTACCCAGTGGGCACCGGACCAAAAAAAGACGTTTGGACGTCTTTTGAACGTTTTGAACGTCTTTTGAACGTTCAAAAGACGTCCAAAACGTTCAAAAGACGTCCAAAACGTGTATAAGACGTTTAAAAGACGTCTTTTTTACGTCCATGTCCACTGGGTAAGAGAGATGGAGGATAGATCTCGCAGAAACAATTTAAGGGTTGACCGTTTAAAAGAAAATGAAGGCGAAACGTGGATTGACATCGAATTAAAAATCAGTCAAGTTTTTGAAGAGCATTTGGGATTAACAAATATTCGGATTGAAAGAGCTCATAGAACTGGTTAGAGAGAAATGAGCAATGCAAGAACAATTGTAATAAAATTGTTAGATTACAAAGATAAAATTGAAATTTTAAAAAGAACATCTCAAGTAAAAAGTAAAAATGTTTATATTAATGAAAATTTTTGCGCCAAAACTGTCACAATTAGGATAGCTCTACGGGATCAGATGAAGGTTGAACGAGCGGCTGGGAAATATGCATTCATTTTTTACGATAGGTTGGTTATTCGGGATTGGGCTGTAAATAAAAGTAAAAAAGTTTCTTTGTAACATATTTATATATGCTACAATTTTATTTTACTTTTTATACATTACTTTGTTTAATTATATTAAATTTTCTTTTAAAAATGGAGGCTAATAAATGCTACTCGGTGCAGTTAGGGCGATTTACAAAAATTTGAATACTTTTATTTTGAATTGGCATGGTTTTGTTAGCATATTATGCCCAAACAAGATCTTATAATTTTTTTTGCTTAAGGTTTTTATGATATTTAAAGAAACTTTTCTTTTTTATTTATAATTTTTAAAATCTTTTTACAACCCGTAATAATGTATCTAAAGAACACTATTTTGGAGTCTTTAGATCAATTTCGCTCATCAACATTAACATGAACTTAGTTAAAATCTTTTTAAAAAGTTACTTAATTTAATACTGATCCTAGTTCTAATCGGTTCTGACGTATATTAACTATATATAGTTGTCAAAACACAATACTTCTATCAATTTTCACAAAAAATACTGGAATTCCGACCAAGAAAGAGCTTATAATTATGGAAAATTGCCAATAAACGATCAGAGCAGATCAAATTGTTAAACTATAATGTTCCTTTCACCTAAGAAACGTATTAATATAAAATCTTATTTAAATTTGGACGAGCGATTGTGATTTTAAGATGATTTTTTTTAAAAAAAAAAAAGATTCTACGGTCTGGGTTTTTTCTCTACAAACATTTATACTTTATGATACCGCAAAATTTTTAATTTTTAATTTTTTTCGTCTTTTCATAATTCACAGACCAGACCATTTCACGAAAATATCATACAGACGCTATTATACTTTAAAAGTGCCTTAACTACACCGAGTAGTGATGATAAATAATTTAATGGAAAAAATTTTAAAGTAAGTAATTATTTCTGAATCTACTCAATATCTCTGTCATAACAAAAATACATTTTCTATTTTAAATGTAAATATTCGAAGTATTAACAAAAATTTCGAAAATCTCAAACTTTTATTGCATCAACTAAACCACGAATTTAACATAATTTGTATTACAGAAACTTGGCTTAAAACGATCGAAAAAATTCGAACTTTGTTCAACAACCGTTCAACAACCACGTTTTAACTATACTGGTGGTGGTATAAGTATTTTTGTTCACAAATCAATTAGCTTTATTTTACGTCATGACCTCAATGTTGATGAAACTGATTGTGAGTCGTTGTGCATAGAAATTATAAACAAAACCACCAAAAATATTGTAATTAAATCTATTTATAGACAACCAGCTGATAATTTAAGAAAATTTAAAACTTATCGAAGCAGTTTTTAACTAAAACTAGTATAACACGGAAACATGTTTACTTAGCTGGTGATTTTAACTTAAATTTGCTAAATTATGCTTCAAATAAAATTGTTCAACATTTTCTAAAAACCTAATACCAACCTAATAACTAAGATCTCATCGTCACTACTTGATAATTTAATTACTAACAATTTTCAAAACTGCTGTTTAAGAACAGGCATAAGCAAAACTGATTTAACTGATCACTTTGCAATATTCTTAATTACTGATAACATAACCCTAAATAATGTCCCTTCAAACACTACAATCTTAACATGACAGATCAATGAAGACTCCTAATCGTATTTTCAAACTCTTTTAACAGAAAATATCGATTTGAATGTTGTTTTACAATCCCATGAAGTCAATACTGCATATGAGCTATTTTTAGCGCAGTTCTGTAAATTAGTATGACATAGCATATCCTGTTAAAAAAATAATTATAAAATTCAAGTCTCTTTTAAACCCCAAGGGATGACCAAGGAATTAATAAAATCATCTGAGAAAAAACAAAATCTTTATGATAAATATTTAAGACATAAAACATATAAAAATGAAATAAACTACAAAAAACTTATAAAAACTTATTTGAAAAAAGCAAAAAACACTCTAAAAAAATTATTATGCAAAGTATGAAAAAACTAACGGCGACACTAAAAAAATGTGGAATATAATTAAACAAATAATTGGTAAAAATAAATGTGAAAAAACTAATCTCCCACAAAAGCTTTTAATTGATGGGGAAATGATTTATGATAAAAAAAAAATAGCTGAAGAACTCAATCATTTTTTTTCGAAGTAGGGTCGAACTTGGCGAGTAAAATTCCGTCAAGTACCACAAAGTTTGAATCTTATATTAAATCATGTAATTCTATTATGAAAGAATCTAATTTAAATGTAAGCGAGATAAGTCTTAAAAGTAATAAAAGTGGGGCCATTGACAAGATTAGTGTGAATGTTGTTAAGTCAGTCTTTGATATCATTGAACCGTCATTATTTCATATTTTTGATTTTTCATTAAAACTAGGTGTTGTGCTGAAAAAACTTAAAGTTGCCATATTCACTCCCATTTTTAAATCTAGTGACAAAACTAATATTAACAATTACAGACCTATTTCGTTGTACCCTGCTTTTTAAAATTATTGGAACGAATTATGTACAACAGACTTTATAACTATTTGATGTTAAACAGCTTCTGTATAGTAAATAATTTGGATTTCAAAAAGATAATTCACTTAACCATGCTGTAATTGAACTAATTAATCATGTATTAGATGCATTCAATAATGACTATTTTACCCCAGGAGTTTTTATTGATCTGTCGAAAGCCTTTGACACTGTTAACCATAAGATACTTATAAAAAACTAGAGCTTATGGAACAAAAAAGTTTGGTTTGAAGACTACCTAACAGACAGGTCACAATGTATTATTTATTAAAAAGAAGAAAAAGAAAAACATTTTACATGTGGTGTGCCACAAGGTTCAATCTTAAGGCCGTTATTATTTTTATTGTATATAAATGATCTCCAAATCAATAAAACATTTATTAATTGGGAACCAATCATTAATTTTTTAGGAGTAATAATAGATGAAAATTTGTCATGGAAACCACATATAAAATATATAGAAAATAAAATATCAATATATTATATAAAGCTAAACCATATCTTAACACTTCTTCTCTAAAAAAAAATAATTATATATTATATAAATATAAATAATATATAAAAAAGAAATATTTATATATTATATAAAGCTAAATCATATCTTAACACTTCTTCTCTAAAAAAAATATACTTTTCATTTATTCATAGTTTTATCTGCATTACTCTTACTCTTACTTCTAACTTATATTTGGTGCACACAGAACTTTTCATTGCGAACCACTTTTAAGGAAGCTCGGTGCCCTAAGTGTCTACAAACTTAATATACACCAAGTTCTATAATTCATGTTTAAAACTAAACATTGGCTCTCTCCAATTGTATTTCAGTCTTATTTAATGAAATATTCCACAAATATCTAACTAAATTTTCAGTTAATAACTTTATTGTTCCAAAAACTAATTCAAAACTAAATTCTTACAACTTTTAATTCTACTTTTGAATGCGTTAATTAACAGAGCCTTTTTGCATGACAACGGTAAATAATTCCAATCATTCACAATACGATTTGTGAAGAAATTATGTCGAGCATTATTGTAAGTGAAATCACGCGTTAGTACGTTGGATAGTGATCTGCGAAGAGGTGGATTATGCCAATTAATGATTTTAAAACCGTTTTAAAGTTTAAACTGTTGGATCAAGTCGCCGCGTCGCCTGCAAGTTTCCAAAGAAGTAAAATTGAAACGCCGACACTTTTCAGCATATAATAAACTTATCAAATCATGAGGAACTTTTGTTGCTTTGTGCTGAATTTTTTCAATATCTTTGATGTTACCCTTTAAGTAAGGACACTATACCGGAACATCGAATTCCAGGTACGGCCTAACATATGTAGTATATAGTTTACCCCAAAGCTTCATATATCTTGATCAAAATGTTTTTTTTAGTAGACCAAGTATCACATTTGCTCTACGTGTTGCAACCTGTATGTGTTGGTTCCATTTTAGATTGTTAGATATAAAGATACACAGGTCTCTTTCAATATCCGTTGCCGCTATAATAAGAGATGTATTACCATCATTCATTACATATTGATGATTTATATTTCCATGACCAAGGTGCATAACTTTACACTTTGCAACATTTAATTCCATAAGTCATTCTTTTGACACTCTGAGACAATGTTTAAATCATTTTGAAAAATCAGACAATCAGTATTGTGAAACTCAGGTCTTATTTCTTGCAACAATTTAGTGTCGTCAGCATAGATTTTATGAGCTGATTTTAAGTTATCCTTTAGTTATCCTTTAAGTCATTTATGTAGCTGATGAATAATGTTGGACCAAGTACAGACCCTTGTGGGACTCCGCTTTAAAAACATCGGTCCAGTTGCTAGAGTCATTACCTAAAACAGTTCGTTGTTTCTGCTAGTCAAAAAAGACTCAATCCATTTGCCAACATTACCATTGATCCCATATGCTTTCAATTTATGTAGTAGTCTACGATGAGGAACTTAATCAAACGCTTTTACAAAGTCCAAAAATGCAATATCAACAAAATTTCTTTTGCTTAACGCTTTCGTAATGTAGTCGACACTTTCCAATAAGTTAGACATGCATCCCTTTTTGGACATAAATCCATGTTGATTGTTTGAGATGAAGCTCGTTTTTTCAAGATATTTAGTTATCTGTTCCCTGATAATCTTTTCCATTACTTTACATGGAACTGAAGTGAAAGACACTTGTCTATAATTAGCATCAAGACGACTTCCTTTTTTAAACAACGGTGTGACATATGACTGCTTCCAGACTGTAGGTGTTGAGCCTCCGGACAGTGCTTTATTGTAAATTAATGTTTGAGGGTAAGTCATTTGATCTGCGCATTCTTTAAGTATCTTTGGACTAATGTTATCAACAACAATAGATTTTTTTGGGTTCAAACCATTTAAATAGGCTAGCGTCGCTTCAAAATTTATTATTACATCGCCTAAGTCTTCTTGATTATGTCTTCTTTCAAAAACCGGTAACTGATCATTTTTGCTATCATCAACAAAAACTGTATTACATATTATATATGTATTACCTCTGTTAACGTTTCATCTTTTGCCTCAGACATAGATACATGAACGTTCTGTTGCGCTTTAGCATAAGCATACATTCTTTTTGGATTATTTTTATCTGATGCCAGTTAAGCTTCAAATACTCAAACACGATGTGTACATGCTTTCTGAACTTGGCTTCTTAGTTTCTTCTATTCACAAATAAGGGTCGTTGATCGCCAGTTTGTCGTAGATAAGTAATTGCCCAGTTGTTGTTTTTTCTTTATCATAGCTAATACTTCCTTATTCATCCACGGTGCATCACGAGTAGTATGGACTTTTTTTAACGGGATGAATTGCTTGCTGAGTTTATCATATTTATTGCAGAAAAGTTCATTGCATTCGTAAGTGTTTTTATTTTCAAATAATTGGTCCCAGTTAGTTTCCATAATTTTTTTATCAAAGTTTTTATAGCCACCCTTATTAAAATCATATTTTTTGTTTGAGAAAATTGTCCTATTTTTAGAAAGGACGATATAATTCCAACTCAATTTGCCATGACCTTGTGACAAATCACCTAACGGAATAGAGCTAGATAAATTGATTACTCTAGTTGAAGAGTCTGTAATAATTAAATCCAAAACATTTTTTGCATTTCCATTAGATGTTTCGAATGTTGAGAAATAAACTAATTGTTTTAGATTATGATTTAGCCAAAGTTACAAGAAAAACACTTGCAGCACTATTTTGACCGCTTAGTAATTCGAATATTTTCGTCATTATGCCATTTAATGTCCGGCAAGTTGAAATCACCTGCTAATAACATATAACTATACGCTTTTATATCAACTGCTTGCTTAGCTCAAATAATTGTTTTATTTATATCATCTATATGGGATAAAACTGGTCTATAGACACAGCAAATAAGAACCATTTCGTTACCAATTTTAATTTCACACTATATTTGCTCGGAGTTGCTGTTGTTTAAAGTCTCTCTTAGATGACGATCAGATACCTCATGCGCAACTAGATCACGCTTAATGTAGATAGCAACACCTCCACTGTGACCTATTCTATTTTTTTTCAATAGTGAATAGTTATTTAATTGAGTGGCAGATATTTTGGTAAACCATGTTTCAGAAATAAAAATTAAATCAGGCATGTTTATATCACAGAGTGCAGATATTTTAGTCGGATTAAGAGAAGTTGCGTTAGTATAAAAACGTTTTAAAAGTTTATTTTAAGGGTTAGATTTAGCAAATTTTATTTTTATATTTAATGCATTTAAATAAGTATATGCAGTTAAACGATTTGATTCATTGTGTTTTAGCAATTCTGGCTGCTTGTGCATCTTTCCATTTGATGAAAGGATGCTTTTTACGTCCATTGATTTCAACTTCTTGTGAGACATCAATGCATTGCAATTTATCGTTGCGGATGACAAATCTAAAGAGTTTGTCAAGTTTTTTAAGCTTGTCAAGGTCAGAATTAGCTGCTTTTCTTTCTAAGTTTTATTTAGTGAATTCGTTTTGCTCTGCTGCTGTGCGGTCAGGGCGTATAAATATATCTTTAAAAGTACTCGATGCCAGTTGTTTAGCCGACGCTAGAACGTTATTTCTAATAAATACTGAATCAACTTCAATCATAAGAAGAGCGGGTTTACTAGAATCTAAGTTTTTTTTTTTTTTTTTTTTGAAACTTTTAATTCTAACTACATTGACTGATTTACTTAAAGATGCCATAGCCTTCTTGAATTCCGCGGTGTCATCTTTGGTTATATCGCTTGGTTGAGTTTTAACAGATTCTGGTAGACCAAAAACACTGCAGTTCTCTTTTCTCTGTTAGTCACGTCCTTGTTATGCTTATTGAGGGCGCTCACTACAGCTACGTTTGCTAGTGTACCGGGTTTGCCGACTTGGTCAACTAATTTATATAACAGAGGTTTTTCACTTCTTTTGCTATTTTTTAAAGACTTTATTTCAATATTCTGCAGATCAATTCGATTAGTAAGTGTTTTAATTATATAAAGAGCTTGTTTCAGCTCTTCCTTGGCAAATTTATCAGCGTTTTCAAGAGCATCATTAAGCTGTTTTTGCGTTACCATTATTAGCAATTAACAGTGGAAGCGATCTTAAGGTTTATAGGTTATAAACGAATTTAAAGTTATAAATGAATTGCTTTTAACTCGATAAATTCTCTTCAAAACAATTTATATTCGTGAAGTTTATATATTAGTAAAAAAAATGTATCTTATTACACAGGGACTAAAAAGTCTATAATACGTGTTTATATGTTTACATATAACAATAGTTTTTCCGTATATAATTATATATATATATATATATATATATATATATATATATATATATATATATATATATATATATATATATATATATATATATATATATATATATATATATATATATATATATATATATATATACATGTATTTTTCTGAGTAAGATTGTATAAAACTTTATTTTAATTAATAAAATTTTGTTATAAATTTATAAGTTTTCGAATGCGTAATAAGATTTTTTTTATTTGTTGACTGACTTTTTTATTTATACGCTGATCAAGAATATTTTTTCAAAATTAAATTTGCTATTTAGGAAAAAAAGTTATGAGTTAAAAAAGGAAACTGAATGTTGCGGGGTTGAATGAAATACGCTAATAAATAAATAAATACGAAACAATAGCTTATTTCTTTATTAAGCCTTAAGTGACCAATAAATCTCCAACTATAAATTTTTTGTATAAGTTTTAATGAACGGATTTTTCTAACTGAATTTAAATGACTTTTACTTACTGCTTTTATAAAATGGTTCTAATAAATGAATGAAATTCGCTAGTTACTCTCTTGTTAATTTGCTTACCAGCTCACTCGTCGCACATTCTACACCCACTAGATGTTGGTGTTTATTACCATGTCAAAAGAGTTAGGCGCAAATTACTTCAACAGTTTTATGCAGAGACAAAGTTTAGCAACTTATTAAAAGAATGTTTCAGTCACCCTGCAAAAAAAACTTTTCAGCTCTGGTATAGTTTTTACACGAGCCTGTATCATCTCAACAACCAGAACCTATGATAGTGCCATCACCAAATCTAGCACCAGGAATTACTCTACCTTAGCCACTGCCCTCTGAATCTACACCAACAACATCTAGCATCAGCATATGTCACATAGCATCAGCTACAAAGTCATCTCAAAAGTCACCTTGTCTGCAAACAAATTTCATAATTGTAGTAACTCCGGCTATTCAAAAGAAATTTCAAAAAGAGGTTGCAAAATAACTGCAATTAGCCCAATCACTTGAATCAGCTTTTCAACAAATGTTTCGTATCCAACACTTTGACACAAAAAAAAGAAAAATGTAGATGTGCCAAGATTCGAAAGAGAGTGTCTCCACAAACCTGTTGAACGTTTGAAAGATGCTGAGAGCAAAAAAGCAGTAAAGTAAGCTAAAAAACAACCTAAGCTTAGCTCTAATGGAGTACAGCAAATAAACCAAGCAATAAGTCCAACGTAAATATTAGCTGCAAACCAAATTCAAGTTTAAAATGTGCCGAAAAGGTTTGGGCGAAACTTCAGCAAGTCAAATTATGGAATGGTACCAATGTGAAAATTCAAATTGCAAGGTTTGGCTATGTCAAACATGCATACCAAAGCGATACGTAAAAGGCGCTGAGTTTTATTGCTACAAAAAGTGAAAACTCAACTCAACCTCTAGTTCCTTTAAACGGCTCAACATCATCACAAGAATAAAAAAGTTTATTTTATTTGATTGTTTTATTTAATTGTTATTATTGATTGTTTTTTTAATTGTTATTATTGATTGCTTTTTTGTTTTTTTAATAAAGTGTTGTTTTAATTACACTTATATTTGCGTTTTTCATTCTCCCCGAATGTCAATCTAGAATAGAATAAAAAAATTTTTAGTCAAAATAAAGTTTCATAAAAAACTTTACAAAAAAATTGTTAAAACTTTATATATTTAAATACAGCTCAATACTCTCTACAACTTTAAAAAAAAAAAGGAAAAATCTTTTTTCAGTAAAAAATTAATAATTAGAATCCTTAACTATTCCATTTGACCCCATTTTACTCTATATATTATTAATAATTGTCACAATCACACAGATACACAAAGGTAGTTAGTGTTAAAAAATAAATCCGAAAACAAACAACAGATTAAGAATCAGGTGCAAACGCGATTTTATAACAACTAGAAAGCTAAAAAAGAAAACTCTAGAATGTTGAGAATAAAACTTAAATATATATATATATATATATATATATATATATATATATATATATATATATATATACAGGGGCGGGTTTAGCTTTTTAAAGAGGTTAGTCAAAAAAGTCAGTTGCGGATTTCACCGCCTCCTTCCCCACGGAAGAACGAGGGGGGGGGGGGGGTAAAGGTAATATACAAAAAAAAAGCACCTACCACATTTGTTTAATAAATAAGTTATTTACAAAGCCTTCAAAAAAGCGGCTCAAATGTCGTTGCATATTTAAAAAATAGACACAACAAACTACTTTAATATTATTAAATTACAAATTTGATACACAGTATGATTAATTTATAATAAAATATTAAAACATTTTTTTCTAGGTATGTAGTTTTTAATATAAAAAGTACTAAGTGAAAAGTGCTCTCTGCTTTTCACAAGTTGTTATACGATCAAATAATGCTTTGCACTTGAAGTTATAGTTAAAGATATAGCGATAATAAAATAAAGTTATATATATATATATATATATATATATATATATATATATATATATATATATATATATATATATATATATATATATATAGTATTAAAACTAGCAAGGATTCATTAAATGTACAAAAATAAAATATTGACTGTGGTATTAAAATATTTGGGCATCATTATTATGTTCCATAAATAATACATCTGTATTTGTTTTGTTTGTTTGTAAATTTTTATTTTCTTTCGATGACAGCTAGACACCTATGTCTTTGCAGAATGTTCTATTACCTGGTCCTTTTTAGTTTTTTCTTTTTGCGCTTCTTTGTAATTTATTTTATTAGACTTCAGTATTCAGTCCGCTGCTCGAAGTTTAAATATATATGTATATATTTATAATTTTTATTTTATTTTAACTTTATATATATATATATATATATATATATATTTTTTTTTTCTTGTTTTATATTTTTTTGTATTTTTGTTGATTTATAATTTTTTTTTGTATTCTTTTTTGTACAGAATGGCTCCAGAGACACAAAATCTTTTTTTACCATGTTTATTGTTTGATACTGCTATTTTTAAAAGATCTTCATTGTTTACTTGGATAAGTTCTCCTAAAGTAGGATGGCATTTTCCTTTAACAACTGATTCAATTATTTTCATTGCATGATCCTTCTTCGATCCGCTAGTGCTGCGTCTAATTTTTGTACTACGTCTAATTTTTTTATATGGGTGTTTGGTATTGAAATATAGAGTGAACTAATAAATTCCATATGACTAAGTACCATTCCGTTGTAGACCAACTTTAATAATTTTTTTGGTAGGCTTTCTGATGCTCTTACCAACATTCCTAGGGAAGAGTGGCATTTTTTTATTACCGACTCGATCTGCTGTTTAAAAGTCAGATGCTGGTCTAATGTTACTCCCAATAATTTTACATTGTTTTCAGGCTTTATTGTTATTTCATCTAATAGAATTTGGTAGTCAGCAGGTGTTTGCTTCCAGGATGGTTTGAAAATAATTAATTGAGTCTTATCTGTGTTTATAGTCAATTTTATTTTTTCACAATAATCTTTTGTATCCTGGAACAATTTTTTTAATTTTTCTGCAATTACTTGAAGTGATAGGTTGGCTTTAGATATGGTTATATCGTCAACAAACTGATATATTTCTGATTTTAAAGAAGTTGTGATTTCTCTCGGGTAAGAGTTGAATAATTCCGGGCTGATTCCACCTCCTTGTGGGACACTCTTAGTGATTGGTTTCCATGAACTAAATTTTTTACCATTCTTAACCCTTTGTATTCTATTTTCGAGATAATTAGAAAGCCATTGTCCTGCTTTGACTCCTATACCCATTTGAACAGTTCATTTAAAAGTTCTTGATGTGGTACGCTATCGAAGGCTTTGGATAAGTCTGTTAATACATACATATTTACCATCACATTTACCATCAATACCATACATATTACCATCAATGCCATACATATTACCATCAATACCATATATATTTACCATCATATACCAACATGTTTATCATTGTCAATTGATTTATACCATGTATTTGTAGCTGTGAGTACAGCAGTTTCAACTCCTGAAAATTTCCTGAATCCAAATTGTTGTTTTGGAATAAGTTGATACTTATCATTAAAACTTGAGAATTGTCTGGCTACCAATTTTTCAAAAACCCTACCGAGTATAGGCAATATAGAGATTGGTTGATAGTTAGCTGCGTCGTTTTTTCTACTTTTTCCTTTCCATATTGGGGTAATATGATCTTTTTTCCAAATTGATGGAAAAACTCCATTTTCTAAAGACTTGTTAAAAATTTGAGTGAGATTATAAGAGATCAATTTTGAAATTTTTTTGATCAAAGATGCTTGAATATCATCATAACCGGATGCTGAATTTGTTTTTAGGGAATTTAGTAGTTTTTCTGTTTGACTTATCTTTATTTTTTCAAATTGGAAGGAATTAGGAATGTCACATCCAGTTGGCCATTCTAGTATTTTTTTTTTAGGTTGATGTACTACTGAAGCAAAATAGTCATTTAATTTGTTCAACGTTATTATTTTTTCGTTTATCTGATTTGCTCCTTTGGTTGTAAAAGTAACTTTTTTTATGAGTTTCTAACTATCTTTTGAGTTTTTACTTGTTAATGCCTCTTCTCCTTTTTCTTTTTCCTTTTTTCGTATTTGACTTCTAATTTGTTTTTTTAGGGTTTTATATTCTTGGTATTGGATTTCTGAAAGCTTGTTTTAGTTTAATTTTCTAGTCATATATTTTCTCTTTTCAATGAGTTCTCTTATTTCATTGTTTATCCATGATGATCTTTTTTTTCTGTAGGCATAATTTTTATATGGGGCAAATTCATCTAAAATTTTATTAAGTTTTTCATACCAGTTGCACGTTGTTTGTTCAACATCCAAGTGAGGATCTAGTTGAATTTCTATCAGTCTTTTATTTAATTCTTCAAAGTCAACTTTTTTGAAGGATCTTTTTATGACTGGCTCAATTTTATTTATTTTCCAGGAGGAACTTTACTTTGATTATAAGAGGAAAATGGTCGCTTGGTGATGTGTCATTAACTAAATATTCAAGTACCTGAAGTTATATCTAAGCATGTTGAGGTTGTTTTGGTTACTCTGGTTGGTTGTATATTGTCCACTTTTATAGCAGCTAGTTTAAGTGAGTTCATTAGAGTTCTGCCTAGAATTACATTTGGTTATAATAGGTCTGCGTTGAGGTCACCCATCACTATGAGTGAATGATTTTTTATCATATTTAATAATAGAATATTGAAATGTCCCCACCATTGTTTTTTGGATTTTGGTGGTCTATAAATATTGAGAATAACCAATGTCTTTTTTTTTTTTTTTCAATTTTTATTTTCATTGCTGTGAATTGTAGTCCTTGTTTTAAATATTTATCATAAAATTTTGTATTTTCATCTAATTCAAGAGTTTTATTGAAATAGGTTAATATTTCTCCTCCATTTTTATTTCTGTCTTTTCTTATTATTTTATATTCTGGAATGTTTAATGTGATCTGTTACTTTTTCATCAATTTCAGTTTCAATTAGTGTGATAATATCATAATTGGGAACATAATACTGAACTTCATTTCAATTTGTTCTTAACCCATTTATATTCCAAGTCGTTAGTCATAACCAGTTGTTGCAAGTAATACTTTTTTAGTTTATTTGTTTAGCTTTATAATTTTGTATTTCTCGTCGAACTCTCAACTTTGAAAAGATGAGGTTTCTTTTAGAGCTTATCCGTTCTATTTTTTTTTTGATGGTGTTATCGTTTGCTGTTCAACTATAGTATCAACTTTTGTCTCATTTTCTGCTTCTTTGTTGTTTTCGAGTTGCTCGTTATTTTGATTTGTTGGATTAATTCGTTTAATTTCAGTTGTTTTGATTTTTTTTTTCTAGTTGTTTGTTGTCTTTGTTTTTTAAAATATTTTGTTTTATTTTTAGTTTGTTTTCTATTTCCATGTTTCTTTCAAGTGGTTTGCTGTTTATTTTTTTTTTGGAAGATTTTGTTCGCAATTTCTAAATATTATTTGTCCGTTTCTGATCATATAAAAGTCTTTTAGGTCTGGTCATTGTTAGGTCTGGTCGAATATATATCTTATCTTCTATATTGTTCATATTATTATTACTTTCTTTTCCATTTGGGTGTTTCCACATTTGTAACAATGTTCTTCTAGTTACTTTGTTTGAAATTGTAAGACATAATAGTTATTGTTGATTAGGTTTCTGTTATTCTTGTTTAATTTGCTAGCTTCATTTGTATTCCTTGGGCTGTTTTTCCTAATCTTACAGCTATAAGTATATCCGTTGTTTTAATTGGAGTGTAAAGAGTGTGTTTGTTGTTGGCATAGTAAATAAAATCCTCAATATCGTTATTGTTTTCTGGTAATTTCTAAATGATTAGATTAGCTTTTTTATGTTTCTATAAAAAATCTCTTGCGTTGTTTCTTTAATTTCAGTTTCTCTAATTGCTTTATGTTTTTTTCGTCTATCAATTTAGTATCTTCGTTTTTTTAAATTGTTACATTGTTTTCATTTGTTTGTTTGGGCATTACATTTTGCCGACTAAAAAAAAAAAAAAGTCCCCGTTTTCCAAAATTTGCCAATTGCCATGACGACATTTGTCGACTGTCTAGATTATCGACTAACCTATAGCGATAGGGTCGACATTTGCCGACTAACTAGTCTAAAAGGGTCCAATTTGCCGACTAAGGGTCAAATTTGCCGACTGAAAATCATTGATGGGGGGGGGGTGTAAAACCCCCACACACCCCTATCGCGCCGGCCTTGCTTGTATTTTCTTATATGTTATTATTTTCTAGTTCTTTTTTTTTTCTTTAATATTAGTAAATTTCTTCTATTAGGTATTCCGTTTGTGTATTTATTTTACACGCTCTACATATTAAATCTAGTTTTGAAATTTTGGATTTGTTGTATTTTATTTTGAGCCTATAATTTTCGAAAATATCCTATCCGTTGCATTTGGAACATTCGATCCATTTAAAATCTTCAGACTCTTTCATATTTATTAATATAATTTTATCTAACTTATTTTATCTTAGCTTATTTGTTGCTAATTATAGACAATACTAATTATAAATATATAACCATACCATACCATGTCATGTTAATTATTAATAAATAAATAACCGGCATCTTTAACCGCCATTTTCATTTCAGTACAGTATGGAGTATAACAAATCATATTTAAATAGGCAAGGTTTGCATAGTTAGGTGTCTTGCAAATAGAACAACAACTTTGTAAAAGTAAACAACTGCGATAACATTAATACCATGATTATAAAAAAATTATAATGTAATTTATTAGTATGACTATCATACGATGAGAAATGCAATAACAAAATAGCAATAATACGACAACTAACCATAAAAACCCATTTTGTTATTTTATTCCATTGATAGATATGTTATATAATGTTAAACAATTGAAATATTAAAGATCGTAAACAAAGTTATGCTTACAGTTAATGTGTTATATGTGTTTATTTTCACTAAACTGTTGACTAATGATCAATAAAGTAAACTTCAAATAATGAAAGCTTACTAAATTAAAACCATATTTTAACTCAAATAACCACACAAGGTAGAATCTCAAGGTAGAGCTGAAAAAAAGGAGAAAAAGTATATAATAGACAATTTATATAATGCTCCTAATTAAAATACCAAAGGTACAGAACACAACGGTACCAGTTTCGATTAACAATTGACAGGTAAAACTAAAGATAAATAGAGAGAAAAAAAATACAATAAAAGTTAGACACGTTTGAATTTATAAAGATAATAAAACTTCATAAAAAAATAAAATAACAACGAAAATAAAATAAATAATCCTTTTAAATAAATAAAAACTATAAAAAATAAAATAATTATATTTTTTAATTTAAAAATTGTTAAATTATACAAACTTTTGATTTGAAAAAGATTTTAAAGATACTGAATAAAGGTTTGTATATACAGTGTAAGTACAAACCTTTATTCAGTATCTAACTCACAATGTAAAAAACCCATAAATTCTTCCCTGGCATCATAGGAATTCTCTATAAATCTAATTACTTAAGACAATTGTTCCTGATTGGAGCAGTCAGATGCTTCATCAGCAATTTATAGGCTGAAAAAAAATGATTTTCTTTTACTTCAGAAACCAAAATATTCTGGATGTACTTTCGACAATAACTTATTAATTCATTCTATGACGAATAAGAAATTTAAAATGCATTCTTTGCACAGCTGTTAAGATGAAGTTCAAGAACGTTATCCCGACCTCTGATTCTGTAGTTTAAAATTTCAATAAAATTACCTACTCCACCCACTAAAGAGTATTTGTCAATGATCATTACAATGACCTCTGCTGTATTAAGCTATATTAAGTCGGCCTAAGAAAATGATTGAGTCAACAATTGGACGCAACTCACGATTTAAAGCAATCTCTTTTTCATATTCTTTATTAAAATACCTATATTTTGAATATTTTCATTTCTATTCATAGTATTTAAAATTGCGGAAAATATGGTCCAGATATTATAATGTAGAATTTGTACTGCGTGATGATGTTCATAAATATTTCTGCATAGTGATGTTCATAAGTATTTCCTTTTTTCCATTGAAAATGCCTATTACAAGTGCTCACATCATCTGGCCAGTATTTGAATGGCTGAGAATACAAATTTTTACATCTAGAAGATGTAAAAATTTGTTCTTCTGAATAAAGAGTTTGTAAATTTTCGATAAATCCAATTTCAAGCAGATACCTTACAGATTGTAGAGAAATGCACGCCATATCAAAAATTATTTAAAAGATATTTAAAACATTCAAAGAATTACATTTAATTACAATTACATGTAATGTTTCTTTTAAATTAGTCAGGAGTTTCTAAAACGCCGAATTCTAAAAAGCCGAAAGGCCGAAATGCCAAAAAACCTTCTAGTAGAAACTGAATAAAAAACAGAATGAAAGCAATGAAAAACCGCATTAATTTTTAAATTATTGTTTTGAATTTTATTATAAAATTCAAAACATTTTAAATTAAAAAAATAGTGTAGCAATAAGTTTTGTATTACTATTGGATCTGTGTATCGTCCATCGAAGTTAGAGTGATTTTCAGCAATAAGTTTAGTGGACAATAAGAGAAAAGTCTGTCACTAATGTTAAATATGTACACTAATCTGTTATCACAGCAAGAGTAAAATTTTTATTTAGTAAATGTTTTGTTGTTAATTTTTCTATATGTTTATTAATTCTGTATTAGTTAACACAGATTAAAGATTAATTAATCTGTGTTTTTTTAATGTGTGTTAGTTTTCATTTTTAATAAAAAAAATTAGAGATTTGAAACAATTAGAAGTTTCATTTTTTAGTTTATTTTTTTTTAATTTAAAATTTTTATTTACATTACACAAAAATTTTTATTAAATTACAAAAAATATATCTGCAGTCTACATTCTGGATGGTTCACTCGTATATAGCTTGTTTAAATTGAGGAGAGCGATCATAAACAAAACAAAACATAAACAAATCAAATAAAATAAATAATGCACACACAGAAAGTTACTATTAGTCAACATTCATTTTTATATCTTATATATCTTCTATGATAACATATATTTTATCACCAGTGATACAATTGTTGTTTCTATTTATCTTGATGTAACAACTATTGTTTTAATTGAGTTTTGAGGACATATTTTTTAATGTTGTAAAAAGGGATTGTTTTTGATTTATTTTAAAGTTAATTCCAGTCCATTAATGCAGACTATTTAAAGGAATGTTTACCGTAGGATTTTGTATTATATGCTTACACACTCAGTGCACCTTTACAAGATTTTCTTGTAAAGGTGCACTGTTTTTATTGGCCCTATACTCTTTTTAATATACATTTACGATCTTCCAGATATTCTCATATCTAAGGTGGCATTGTTCGCTGATGATACTACCATTTACTCTTGTCACAATAAGAAGCCAACTCCCTCTGATTGCTAGCAGGGGGCATTTGAGCTTGAAAAGGATCTCACTTCTGCTACAGCATGGGGCTCACAGTGGCTGGTGAACTTTAATTCAGGTAAAACTCAATTTTTTTCAGCCAATTGTTATCGCAATAATTTGGACCTTCCTATATTTATGAACGGTAATGTACTCGATGAGTCATCTACCCTTCATCTTCTAGGATTAACTTTCACTTCTGATCTTTCTTGGAAACTTTATATCAAATCCGTTGCAAAATTAGCATCTGCTAAAGTTGCATCTCTTTATTGAGCTCAACACTTTCTTACTCTGGATTCTATGCTCTATCTCTATAAATCTCAAATCCGACCTTGTATAGAATACTGTTGCCATATCTGGGGCGGATCTTCTAATGATGCTCTTTCTCTTTTAGACAAGGTGCAAAAACGCATTGTAAACATAGTTGGACCTGCTCTTGGAGCCAACTTTCAACCTCTGTCACATCGTCGTAATGTTGCTTCTCTTTCTCTTTTCTACAAGTACTATAATGGGCACTGCTCTAAAGAGCTAGAGTCTCTTGTGCCATCTACTAAAATTCATTCTTGTGTTACTCGTCATTCAATTAAGTCTCATCCTTTTTCTGTTACTGTTTTTAAGTGTCCCAAAAACTCTTATTTGTCTATTTTTTTTCTAGAACATCAGTTCTTTGGAATTTGCTTCCTTCATCTTGCTTTCCTGATTCATATAATTTGCAATCTTTTAAGTTGTCTGTCAATCGTTATCTTGCTCTACAATCTTCATCTTTTCTCTTCCAGTAACTTCCAACACTAATTAGTGGTTGCTTGCAGCCTTGTTGGCAGCGAAGATGTTAAAAAAAAAAATTATCAAATATTTGAAGTAGCATTTTGTTTATGCAGCTGTGAATAAGTAAACAATTTTCAATTTTGATTATATCATGTAATTTTAAAATTTCTAGTGCATTAAAAGATGTTAATGTATGGGTACTTTTTGGTAGAAACTCAATAATCTTGACTGCTTTTTTCTGCATGATAAATAGGCGATACAATTATGTTTTAATTCCATGATAGAAGACAATATGTGATGTTAGGGTGAAATAAAGCATAGTAAATAGGTTTTAATGTTTTTTGTTGTATGAAATGTCTTAGCTTTGATAAAATGGCAAGGTACTTACGGTATTTTATATATATATATATATATATATATTTTTTTTTTTTTTTTTTTTTTTTTTTTGTAATTCACCTCCCCAAGGCCAACGGAAATTTGCCTATAGTTTGGCATTAATAGTTTTAAATCAGTTTTAAGAATGGATATAACTTTGGTAGTTTTTAAGTTTTCTGGGAAAATACAACTTGACAAAGAGATATTAGTAATATTAGAACAAATTCTTGAAAGTTCCGTTTTTAATAGTTTTTAAATTTTAAACGATTGCTAAACATATTTATTTTAATGACAGTAAATATGGAGTAGTTAGTTTAGCAGCAAAGTTAAATTTGTTTAAAAAAAAATTGTTAAATAAATTTTACTGTTATTATTCTTTGAAGTCTTTATATGTATTTTATATGTCCTAATCAAATTATTATATTAAAACTGTCTAGTAAGAGGATAATTTGTTACTGTTTAGAAACAGTACCGGATCATGGGAGGGGCTAGGGGGACTATAGCCCCAGGCCCCACAAATTTAGGGGGCCCAAAAAATTTTAGAGGAATTTTTTTTTTTTTTTATGAAGTCATTTTTAGGCTCTGGCCCATAAAAAGGCCTCCAAAAACAAAAATAGCCCCAGGCCCAAGAAGTCTTAATCCGCCACTGTTTAGAAACAAAATGGACTTTGTATATGAAGTTCAAAATTTTGTTAAAACTGGTAAGAAAACTTTTATATACATCAGGAATCTTTGAGGAATCAAGACTCTTTGAGCATTAAAAGGAAGTATTTAATTCCCCATTATAAGACAAAAAATAATACATTACACACTAAAAACAAAAAAAAAAGCAGCAAGTTTATGAAACACATTGGGAACACAGAAAAATTATGGAATGCATTGGAAGTTGTTAAGTCAACAAATTTAAACAGTTTTGAGAGAAAATTAGACAAATTTTTATTTATTTATTTATTTTTTTCAATTTTCACTTTTTGCATTATATTCTCAAAAGTTATGTTTGTTGAATTGAAGTTATATTGCAGTATATTATCAAAAGCTTTCAAAGTGAGTTTCTAACTCACTTGCTGTTAACGCAGCTACAGTTTGACTAACACTATGATTATTATATATTTTCAAATGTAAACATCAGTTTTTTCAGTAATTTTTAGTATTTTGCCATTACTGATAATATATATATATATATATATATATATATATATATATATATATATATATATATATATATATATATATATATATATATATATATATTTTCCTAGTGTTGGAGATTTTTTAAACCCATTTGTTTTTATATAGTGTTTAGTTTTGAATACTTTTAGTAATGGTAGAAAAAGAAACTGTTTTTAAAGTTGTTGTTTTTTTTATTAATGAATCTGCTGCATTACACATAACACACAAATATATATATATATATATATATATATATATATATATATATATATATATATATATATATATATACTCTGTTTTTTTCTAGTAACTCCCAACCTAATAGTTGTTGCTTGCCTTGTTGGAAGTGAATCAGAATTAAAAAAATTTGTAAAATACATTTAAAATTAATTTTATATATATATCAGGGTGGTCACAGCTGGTCTAAGATCCTCTAAAGTCCTCTTTTTTAAAAATTCTCCTCTAAAATCCCCTATTATCCTCTAAAAAATGGAATATTTGATTAAATCTTCTTTTTAACTCCTTTTTTTAAATTTTTTAATTTCTTGATGGAATGTTCTATGTTACAAATTCCTAATCTGCAAAACTCGTTAATGTCTTAAAGGGCATTGGGTTGTAAAAAATCAATTTTAGAAAATCGATGTCATCGAACATCAAAAATGGCATTTTTAACCCCTGTGTAAACCCAAAAAATGTTGAAACACTGGCGTTAAACCTATATAATTATAATTTGCAATCTTTTAAGTTGTTTGTCAATTGTTATCTTGCTTTATTTCGCCCTATAAACTTCAACTTTTTTCTTCCAGTAACTTCCAACTCTAATAGTGGTTGCTTGTAGCCTTGTTGGAAGCAAAGATGTTTATATATATATATATATATATATATATATATATATATATATATATATATATATATATATATATATATATATATATATATATATATACATATATATGTATATATTATATATATATATATGTATATGTAAATATATATATATATATATATTTTTTTTTTAGTCGTAAAAAGTTGTTTTGGCACCCCTCCCCCCACGTGACACCTACTCGTGCCAGCCCTGCATACAGGTTGGTATAGTTTTATCATGGTAATACAAATATATCTAAAAAACTATCTACAAAGTTGTTGTAGATAGTTTTTTAGATATATTTTCATGTTATGTAAAACGTCTTTAACATAAATAGATTTATATAACATAGACACCCAAAAGTTGTGACATATGTTGTCATTTATTCCAAATGTTTTAAAAAATTACGAGTATGAGTGTTTGTGAAAACACTGGCAACCTGCTTTTATGGCAAAATATAAAAGTCTCATTAACCAAAGTTTCAGGTAAACATCCTATAAGGTTATTTTTTATTGATAGATTTAAAAAATAGATTACTTTTAAATGTATTTTAGCCTATGCTGATGTAACCTTGAAGTTGTGTGAGAGGCCAAGGAATTTAGATGTAAAGTACTTACACACTAATCTGGCTTTAGTCAATATACTACAAGAATTGATAATAAAAATAACTTTCAGAAGATTGCCAATACTTTCTTCCTGCCATCTTTAAAATGTTTGAAAAATTAATTTACTGTGAATTAGTGAAATAAAAACGTTGTTTAAGAAGAATTTTTACTACATTTATAAAGTGTTACTTTATAAGGCATAAAATTAGCAGTATTTTTTGTTTGACAATTTTGCTGTTTTCACAATTTTTTAAACCCAATCACTTTTGTTTCAATTCAATTTATTAAAAAGTAAAAAATAGTTTTAGTCTTCAACAGTTAAAATTATTTTGTAAACTTCGTAAAAGAAACTGTCATTGCTCTAGCATAAATCGAGATCTACCTGATGAAAGATGGTATTATTTATATATGTGATAATTAATAAAAGACAATTAGTTTTTAAATGATCAGATGAATGCTGGCCTTTATTATATGGCTTGTTGTGTATTATATTTTGTGCATAGTTAATGTAACAATCAGTCTCTTTGTTTCAAAAATAAAATTTATGTTTCGCATAGTAAATTGGGTTTTCTTACTCTTTTGCATTTCCTTCGTTTTTGTTAAATATTGTTTTGTAAAATTTATTATCTCTCTGATATAATATGAGTGTGCAGCCGATATTTTTTTAATTCTCATTTTATATTTTTTATAAATGATAGAGCTTAAATATATTTATGGATTATTATATTATTGTTTAATAACTTAATTGTTTTACTTTTTTTTCCGTCGATCCTCGCCACTACATAAAATAAGTGACTACATAAAAATAAATTTATGGTTTCAGTAATCCCTGATTGGCAGTATAACTGTTACTTGTTTTAGGTTAATTGAGCAAGGAATTTTCTCTAGAAAATCACCTAAACATGGTAAAATTGCACGTTTTATAGATACAAAAGTTCTAAATATTAACTCACAAAAATGCTTGATATATTAGGAAATCAAATATTTGTTAGTATATTATCTAAAAATGATAACATTTGTTATCGTTTTTAAATTAAATGAAAATAAATTTTTATTAACTTTGAAGCTTAAATGTTACTTTTTTCTGTTCAATTTGATTTGATTTAAAACAAGGATATATAAAAACTCTTTCAAAAGTCTTGAACTGAGACCAAAAAAGCTAAAAGTTTTATTTTGTTCTGTCATTTGCAATGTTTCAAAATGTTTTGGTCTGCTTAACATCGCCCACAATAGCTTTAAAAATATTTGTAAAAGATGCTAGTTATTGGTGAGAACCTTCAAAGATATCTAGCGTTAATGTTGCTCAGTGTGCAATGATTCATTTTCACATGAGTTTGAGGCCCACATAGAATATTATCGTGTAACAAGAATTGGTATCACAAGAGATGCTCTCTATCACAAAATATGCTATCTGCTTGTAGAACAGGTTTGCTTAAAATTGTTGTAGTGTACCGGTTGGTTCTCTTACACAGCAACAAAGGTTTTTTTCTTGACACAGCTTTCTTGTAATTATTTATCTGAAAATTCGCTTGCTTGATGGTTCACCGAGGTCGTTATCAATAATTCCAATTAAAATTTTCTAAATTTAATTAGTTAACAATTTTTACGCAAATCCTCTCGATACTACTACTAATTATAAAATTAGAAAACAAATTTAAAAATAATTTTATAAACATAAATTTTTATTTCGTCTCTTTTTCCGTTATTATTCAAAGGACAGAAGCAAAAGCCAAGTTTGGCTTTTTCTTCTGTCTCGCATTTGCGAATGCGCAATAAAAAATCCGGGGGATACATAACTTTTCGTTGTCTTTTTTTAAGGTTACCGCAGGTCTACTAATACGCCATTTTTTTCGGCATTTCGGCGTTTTAGAATTCGGCTTTATAGGCAGTCCTGGGGGCAATCATAATATATATTTAATTCGACTAACTTGACCTGAAGTTACGCTACCGAACGACGAAAATAAAACAATTTTAAGCTTTTTAAAATCTCGTCAGCCGAATAAAAGGGCCAGATAAGTCGGAAGATTTTTTTGACTAACTTGGCCTTAAATTACGTTACCGAACAACAAAAATAAAAAAATTTAAAGGACTTTATTAGTTTTTTGAAATCTCGTCAACCGAATAAACGGGCCAGATAAGTCGCAAGATTTCTTGACTAACTTGGTCCGAAATTACGCTACCGAAAAAAAAAATTACAAGCCGACACGGGGCTATTGCGTGCGCATATACTTATCATAGTTTATTAGGTATTGCTGTTTAGACCAAAAAAATAGAGATTTTATTTAATTTCAAAAATCTCAAAAATATATAACATATTTCATATATATATATATATATATATATATATATATATATATATATATATATATATATATATATATATATATATATATATATATATATATATATATATATATATATATATATATATATATATATATATATATATATATATATATATATATATATATATATATATATATATATATATAAAACTCGTTAAAAACCTTTTAAATATAACATTAATATAAGCGCAAATAGGATCTTTGGTTAGACAATGTTTGTTTATAATATTTATTTATATAAATATAGAAATATAAATAATAAAAAGCAGCTATATATTATATTCAGTTACTATTTAGTTAATTCAAAGCAATTGACTTCGAACCAAATATATATTGTAATATAGTAGAATAATAGGTAATGAATATTAATATGAAAGTATAATAAGATATATGATAGAAGAAAAAAAATAGAAAAAAAAAGAAAAAAAAAAAAGTAATAAAGAACGATTGAATGTAGAAAAAAAAAACTCGAAATTTACGACCAAATAAAGCGCGTCTTAACTGTGCGATGTCTAACAATCGAAAAAAGAGAAAAATTTTCTTTGTAAAAATTTAGAAAAGAATCTAAGAATCTCTTATTACAAAATGACTTTGATTTAAAATATCTCTTTTAACAATAATACAAAAATAATATAAATTATCTAAAAAAATAGTTATTGACACTACTTCTCTTTTGCTGCAATTTTAATCCAATTTAATTTTTTGTCGAAAAACTGTAATACTTTTAAATTATTTGATACATCTTTGATATAATGCGTTATATTTCAACACTAATATTTATATTATATTATTAGTTATATTGTAACTAACGTGTTTAAAACTCTTATTATATACTTATCTACTCTTCATTTTTGTATATTAACTGACGATTTTTTAATGTAAATTTTATAATGGAGCTTGATGATAAGACAATTTATGTCTTCTGCTTGCTCCAGCTCTCTTATTTATTAACACGATTTATTGCATTGTAATTTTTAATATATGACAAAACTCTATGCTAAAAAAAAATTAAAAAAAAAAATTAAAAGGGTAAAAAATTGACCGATGATAAAGCATTGGGAATGGGAAAGATCTGCTAACTGATAAAGTGGTAAACACTCTTCAAAACCATGTTGGAACGGTCATTAAAAGAAACTATAGACAACCGATATGGGATGTATCAAAAGCTGCTGTTGCGGATTTGTATCATGCAACAGATGAACTAAATTTAGAAAACCGGCATCGATTCTGTCCATGTATCTCAGACTTTTGATGAAAATGTCTAAGTGAAAAAATCACGGGAACAAAAACATTTAAAGAAAAAATTAATATTCAAAAAGTTGTCCCTGATGATATTGCTCAAATATATTTTTACCAAGATCTTGATAGTGATGCGCTTTTGACAAAACATTTACACGGTGAGACACAGAATGTTAGCGAGACCTAGAACAATTTGGCATGGACACCGTGGACGAAAAAGGTGTACATTCGAAATAATACTTAAAGTATTATTTCGAATGTACACCTTTTTCGAGCACCGTGTCCATAAAAGCATTACTTTTAAAACTGCAGTTATATCTAGGTCGATACTTTTTTCCAACGGGTTTCGCATTTTTTGTAAAATCAAGACCCGAATTATTTAAACCGTTTATACTCATTTTCTTATAATAACTTGCGATAGATAAATAATTATTATGTATATTGTATTAAATAATTATTCGTGATATATTATAGCAAAATTTGTTATAACTTAGCACTATTAAAAACGAATTCGATATTCAAGCACTTATTATATTCGGGTCAGGATTTTATTAAAAACGCGAAACCTGGATTTGCTCATTGGAAAAAAGTTTAATAAGCTAGGTATAGCCAAAAATCTGACATTTAGCGCGTCAGCTAATCTTATAAAAAGTCGACCAGCTCAGTAAAAAAATGGCAAAAAAAACTTCTTGCCATCGTAAAAGACCTTAATAATCAAAATAAAGAGAAAAGAGACATATGCCAGTAGAGTACTTTAATTTGTTTTTTGAAATAAATTATCTTTTTTTTTTTTTCTTCTGATGTTTTTGTTGTCTTTAAATTTTAACTAGATTTGTGATTTCTTAAAAAAGATAACTTTAGATTGGATAAAGATGCTGAACTGATTATTTTTAAAAAAAAAACATTAGATTGGATAAAGATACTGAACTGTAACTTTTTATGGTGTTATTGTGTCTTAATTAGTGTTTTGAGTTAACACTTTTCAAAATTTTATAAAAACAAGGCCAGCAGTGTTATTTTTACATGAAAGTACCTTTTCTTAGAAATTCAAAGTTTTAGAGACAAACTGGGAGGTTAGAAAATTACACCTCATTCTTTAAGGAGATTCTGATTATTTTTAATCAAGTTAATACTGTCGGAGCAATCACGGCAAAATCTATTCATGACATAAAAATTAATAACGTCAACACTAGTTTTTATGCAAATGATGATTGGTTCTTTTAAATAGTATATATCAATGGATAAGCAAGTATGAAGAATTATTTTACCTTTTATTATCAGGGGGTAACTACATTTAAAAAAATGTAGTTACCCCCTGCTTCCACCTTATTAATATTCGCTTTACATTTTAAGCATTAAAATTTTCAATAATTAAACTTAAAATAAGTCTTTAATTCAAAAATAAACTATTTTAAAAAATAAAATAGTTTATTTTTGTAAAAAAATTATTTATTACTGAAAAACTTAAGGATCATCCATAAAGTACGTACGCTCGGAGGGAGAGAGGGGATCTGCAAATGCATATGAGATGGGGGCAAAATGTATTTAAATTTGTATTAACGGAAAACTGTTTGGAAATCCGGAAAAACTCAAAGTTAGAAGAAATATCCGGATTTCCGGATATATCCGGAAAAGAATAATCCCTGAATAATATTAAACGTTAAACCTCCTATCTTTATTAATTCATACTATGATCGTATTAAGACCTTTAATCAATAAATGCATCTTTTATTATTATTATTATAATAGAAAAACAACTTAATACAAAATATAACAAATTTAATGTTTTTTGCTTTTCTCTTGCGTATATTTTGAGTGACTTCTGTACCACAACATAAACGGTATAAGTAAAGATGGCATACACATTAATGCAAAAATTGACCATTCAAGCTTAAAAAAAAAAGTAAATTAAGTAAGATTAAATGTTTTATTTTTCAAAGAAAATTTAAAAATTAAAATAAAAAAACATACCAAGTGTGGAGAATGTTTTCTAGAAAACTCAATTTCAGACATTATAAAACCTTCTCCAGGAAATGAAGTAAATGCATCCTAAAAAGTAATAAAAACTCAGAAAAAAATACTTAAACAATATAAAAAACTGAAACTTAAAAAAGTTGAAAGATTTTACTTGTATATCACTTCCTTCACCAGGTTGATATTTCAGTTGACCAGCTGTAAAGTTGAAAAACCCAATTTTCAATGGCTTTAGCACAACAATATGTGTAACATTTGAACCTGGTGCAATACTTTTCCACTCAACAGGTAAATGGCCTCGAACAAACTCGAAGTCTGATATTGAAAATGATTTGTCATTTAAAACAACCTGGTTTGCAGGGCTGAAAAAACAAGTAATAAATCAATATTTCAATTAAAACATAATTAAATTTTAAAAATCAGTGATTTACAAAATATTTAAGTTATAATAATTATAATAGTTAAGCTATAAAAATAATAGCGTTTACAAAATATTTAAAGGCTTCAATAAAAAAAATAGTTAGCATTATTAATAGTGTATACTTATATATACCATTTAAATGCTAACACAAACAATTATAAAGATTTTTAACTTCAGACATTTGGCCACAGACATGACTTTGATTTCAAAAATATCTTTGACTTGTACTAATTTTTTTAAGTTCAAAGCTCTATGCTTATAAATTAAAACACAATTTAAGCACTTTTCAAATATTTCTCAAGAAAAAATAAAGATATCTATGGATGATTTAATAGTTTACATCCTGGTTTGAACTTTTTTTTTTAATTATAATATATTAGACTGTATAAAAAAAAGTTACCCAATGTTAATAATAAAAAATTAATGAAAAATTTATAGTGATTTCAAAAAACTGTAACTTAGAAATAAAACCACTGATTTTTAGCTCACAATTTACACAATTTATTCTTTAATCATTGTTTTGACTATTTAAAGGAAGCAAAAAATTAGGCTATAGGAAATCTTTAAGATCACATGCTTTATTTACACCTGTTGGGTTAGTGCATTTTACAAAAGAAAAGAAGGCTAAAATATTGAACTGTTCATAAGTATTTTGGTATCAACCCAGTTTTCAAAATTGATTGAAGTAAAATTTAAAAAAATGAGGAAAACATGCTACAATACTAAAATATGAAAAAAAGTTAGAAAATACAATACTAAAATATGTTTAAAAGTTAGAAAAACAAGTGATTTATACAAATCATTTTCAACGCCCAATGTTTTAAGATACTCTTTCATAAATTTTTTTATTTTGCTGTATAATATATTTAGTTACTTATAATCTTATTTGATAAAAAAAATTAGAAAAGTAATAAATAAGAACTAAGTATAAAGATATATTATTCATTTTTTAAGAAATTACAAAAAAAATTACAAATATGCTATAATTTAGGTAGTGGTGTTGAGAAACTAAAATTTACCAGATAATTTTCCAGTAAATTTACCAGAAAATTTTGAAAATTAACCGCCTGGTAAATTTTGAAATTTTTTTCACTTAATTTAATTTTTATTAAGAAAAATTTACCCTCTTCTATTTAAAATTTACTGGTAAATTTTGAATCAAATTTTACCAGAAAATTTAATTTTAAATAAAAAACTAAATTAATTAAAAAACTAAAAATCACTAATTTTAGGACACAATAAGTTGCGACTATAATAAACACAAAAACTAAAAAGAACATCATGTTTTTTTAATATAACAAAGTTTTTTTACATTTTAACACTTCTATAGTTCAATCGACAAATATTCATTTGAAAAAAATTAAAACTAGCTACTAGTACAAAAATTTTACTAAAGAAAGAATTTAAGGTAACTATTTTTACATTAAAAAAAATATTTTACTACTAATAATCCAGTAAAAAAGAATTATTACTTGTTTGAAGAAGTGCTTACTTCTCATTGGTCAAAACAAGTAATTTACTTATTTAGATGACCATCTATAGGTCTAATGACATCAGAGACATCCAGAGATCAAGAAGATATTATAGAAACATAAATCAGCGAAGAAAAGCAAATAAACCCTTGCACAATAACATTGAATTATCAAAGCTAACAAATATGCAAAAGCTTGTTGTGATTGATTGCACACAAGGAAAACAGCTGAAAAAGTTTAAACTTAAATCAATTAACTTAAATTATTATATTTATATCTTATTTTAAATATTACATTATTATTTATTCATTACTTAAATTTTCAGTAATTTTATGGTTATAATTTTCTAATGCATATAATGTAATATAGTACAAAAAATTTCCAGAAGAGAAACGCTTACAGATGAGGGACAAACCCAATGTAAACAAAATGAGAATTTTCTAATATCATTATTCAAACTAACAAGACAAGGAGATCAACATGATCAAAAGATGTTCAAAATTTTAATAAATTATTGAATGCTGTAAAACATTTTACACCAGTTAACTAAAATAGAACCGTTTTTAAGAATAAGCATTGTGAAATATATCCATAAATATGTCCATTATAATATTATAAACATGTCCATTAAATAGTTATGTCCAATAGTTATACCCGTTGGAAAATCGTTTTGAAAAAAACCTTTAAATAATCCAAAAAAAGATAAATAAAAAGTTAAAAATAAAATTACTATATAAAAAATAATTCATTAAAAACAGTGTTTTAATAACTTTTTTCTCATCAAAGACTACTACATTAACTTTAATCCACTCCAGTAATAATGTACAAAACTTCATTATTTTATAATAACAAGAAGAAAAAAAAAAGAAAAAGTAATAAAATACCTAGATCCAATGTTAAATATGCTATATTTAATAACTAAATCTTTATTTTCTACAATAAATTTATTTTCTACATTTTTTGATGCTAGTAATCTTGCTTGTGAATCGACATCAGCATAGGCAAAAGCCAAATAAAGTGATACAAATAAAACTATCATCTAAATATAAAAAACGCTACACTAAAAAATGTAAGTAGTTTTTAAAATCATTAGAAAAATTATCCTTTACGAATAAAAGTCACCTTTTAATGTTTCTTTAAACAAAAGCTTAGAGAAGCGATTGTTAGAATGTAATTACGAAACTGAGACATACGTGGCTTTAAAAAATTTACTCGACTGTTCAGCGCCAAAAATCTCTCCTCCCCAATGTAACTATATAAAAGATTCTTTTTATTCAGACGTTACGACGTTGGTTTAAAGTATCAGCATACAGAGTTTACCACCTCATTTCGATTTTGTATCATTCAATTTCGACATTGTATCGGTATATTTCAACAATTTTGCATTCAATATTGACACTGTTACATTTGATTTCGACTATTTTGCATTTAATTTCGACAGCGTTAAGAAAACTTTAATATAAAATAAAACAGTTAAATTCTTTCTAAATTCATTATAATAATGTAATTTTATAGTTTGTATACAAACTAAAGTTTAAAAAAAAATTTTAACAAAAAATTATCATATACAAAATATTGTAATTGCAAATATTTGCTTTTTAAAAATACAAAAGTAAGTTTATTCATCAATAATCGATACTCTTTTTTAACACGGAATCATATACTTAAGCACATGCCCAAAACAGTTATTTGTGCTTCTAACACTCAATGCACCCAAGGCCGGCGCGAGGATCTACCCCCACCTGACACCTACTAGCGCCGACCCTGAATGCACCATTTTCTATATTTTCAAGTAGCTTTTAATCAATTCAATACAAACATCTGATAAGTTGTTTTCAATCAGAAAACATATTTTCAATAGGATTTAAAAAGAGAGAATGTGGAGATAAGAACATCGAAGGAATATGAAAAACATTAATATTTTTTTTTGACAATTAAAAGTAATTACTCTGGTCAATAAAAATTAACAATTATTATGGTAATTTAAAACAGTTAACATCCACATATATATTTTACGTATATCCTAAAAACAATTTTTGAAACCACCATTTATGATTATTATAAAATTTTTTATTCAAAACATGGCGTTTTTAAATTGTCGAAATGTGATGCGACTGTCGCAATTAAATGCAGCAGTATCGAAATGTACTAATAATTGTCGAAATTGAATGATACAATACCGAAGTGAAGTGGGAAACCCTGTATTAAAATATTAACAAAATATTTTAATAATACACATAAATTTAATTTTAAAATTAATCTTATTTATATACATATAAAAAATATATATCAGTAATAAAGAAATGATAATCTTTTCTTAAAAGTGTTGAGTAGGATTACAGTTTGATTAATTTTTTGCAGTGAAAAGTTATTTAACTGTAAATAATAATGCAAATAAAAATTGCAGGGGCAAGTAGAAAACATCTATACTTTAAATGAAATCAATAAAAATAATTAAGAATCGTACACTAATTAAATAAACGTTGAATAAACTAAGAAGTGTTAATAAAATTTTCACTGTTATTTTTAACTTTTTAAGTTTTTCAAACTTTTTTGCTTTCAAGTTTTGCTTAATAAAAAGAAAATCTTACATACAGTTAAAATGTTTAGTTTATATCCAATATATCCAAAATAAATTTATCCATATAATATATCCACATATATATATATATATATATATATATATATATATATATATATATATATATATATATATATATATATATATATATATATATATATATATATATATATATATATATATATATATATATATATATATATATGTATATATATATATATATATATATATATATATATATATATATATATATATATATATATATATATATATATATATATATATATATATATATATTTAATAGAATTAAAGCAATAACAAACGACTTCATCATTTCAAAGTTTGTTAAGTTGATAATAATAATAAACTTTCAGACGTCGATGAACTTATCGTAGTTAATGCACGTTTTCGTACCGTATAACTAGGTGAATCTGGAAAGTAAAGTGAAAGGGGAGAGAAGCCAGAAAGGGTTTTTGAATTTTTTTAAAATAACAGGGACAGCTAATAGATCAGGTATGACTCAGGCTTATATAGTCGGTAACATTTAAATTTTGCTGTGACTGTACCTATCGCAGTAAAGATTTAAAAAAATATGTTCGAAATTGTGAAAAAAAGCGAACGAAAAAAAAGAAAACTTATTGGCACTTACAAAAGCACTGAATGTGTAATTGCAAAACTCTTCCAAATTGTTACATTACCAATTTGATAAAACTGTAAGAAGTTACAGGTTCTTGTATGGTTTCAATCTATAATGAAGCCCAAGCTCATATCCTAGAAAATAATTTGTTTGTTTGAGAAGTTTCTTATCTAAAGTTTAGGCAAATTTTTGGCAAAAACGCTTCGTAAAAAAAGTATAACAAGAACCACTTTTGTTTTTCATATTCGGGGTAAACCTTTTATCGATAAATTAAATTCAAATATATTACTCAATTAATCAAAGATCATCTTCTAAGTAAACTACTTATGCTTTTAAAAGCCTACCCTCTTTTTGTAATTTTAATGCTTTTATTGGAAGATTTATACTTTTATAGATGATCTTCTGATTAAAGCTCTAATACTATTGAAATCCTACTCTCCTTTTGTAATTCTACTGAAAAAGCTTCTGTTTTTTCTTTATTTTTAAAACCTGGCGACTGTGTAACAGATTATAAATAAGTTTTTAGACTGGAATAAAAGCCATATTTTTAAAACAAAAATTTTTATTTAAAACTTAAAAATAATTATAAAAAGATGTTTTTTTTTAGTATTTAAAGAGAAAAAAAAATTAGACATTAAAGGTAGGATATGTATATGCCCTTTGAAATATACCCTTGGAAAGGCATAGTGTTTTTAAACTCAAAATAATAATAATTTTTTAATATTTGTCTTTTAAATCAAATGTTACATGTGGGGCAGTCAGATTTAAACAACTTGAATAAAAACCAGAGTTGCCAGGCTGCGACGAATGAGTTAAAGTAAAGAACGATTCATCGTCTAAAACCAAATCTATACTTTTATACTCTTATATTTATACTCTTATATTTTTCGGCACTTTCGCATCGCTTGCTTTTTCTAATTTTCAATTAGAAGTGGTCTTTTACTTTTTTTACGATATTTAATGTTTCGGTGTTTTGTTCCTAAAACTTGTACAAATCGTTCCTAACGTTTTCATATTTCAGGCCCTAAGCAACCAAGAGGAAGGGGTGGGGGGCATCAGGGGCTTCCCCCCCCCCCCCCACACAACAATTTTTCAAATATATAATTTTAAAGTTAATTTTTAGGAAAAAAGGAAAACGATTACAAATTAAGAAATAAAAGAAAAAAAGGAAAAAAAGGATCTAATTTGTTATCCGTATTTTCGGCATAAGTTCCTTTGACAAAATATTTTGACCTACTATTCTTTGACCTACTCGGTAGTATTGCCTCCCCCCCCCCCCCCCCCCAATATAACTTTTGTTTGTACGGGCCTGTGCTTTGCCAGCGTTTAAAAATTATTTAATAAAAAAATTTTTTTTTCTTTTAAATTTTTTAAAAACAATTTAAGCACGGGCTCAAAACGAACCTCCTTGTACCAATGATATAGTATATAACTAGATGTCTAACTTCATTACGAAAAGAGAAGCCACTTTTTACCCTTTTTACAAATGGTGGATCACCATTTGTAAATAAATATTTTTAACTTTTCTTTCCTTAAATGAAGTAAATTTATTTTAAATTTAAATAATATATACATAAAAGTGTTAAGCGGAAATTATAACACTTGTAAAATAATAATTTATGATTTCTTAATTTATTTTCGATTAAAAAAGAATTAAAGTTTTGAATAGAAAAGTAAAACGTCTTACCATTTTGAAGCATTCTTATTTAAATACTTTTTAATAAACATAGGCACATAAAAAAACTTTTAAAAGTATTTTATAATTGTTGAAACGTGTTTTTGAATTATCTTTAATTTATTGGGAACTTTTGACGTGCATTTTTAACTTTTGTTCTACACTTCGGCTTCAGCTTTTGCCCTTTTTACAAATGGCGGACTATTGTTAAAAACAAAAAAAAGCGGCTTTACTTTTTGACCAATAAAATCCCGCAAGTTAGACATTTAGTTATATAATATATCATTGCTTTGTACACTTTTTTGCAGTGAAAACTTTAACATTACCTTCAGTCCAAAAACTTTTTTATAACCCGTTATATTCATCATTCGGAAAAGCTGAGGCGTATAATACCATTGGTATTTCTCTTCAAAAATAGCGCGATTATTACTTGGTACACCCCAATTTGATATATTCCATTACATTAAAAAAAAAAATACAAAAGACGTTTTAAATTTTTTCACAACATTTTGATTAATTTTATAGACTTTTTTACTTTTAAAATTATTTTAAAAACTTCATATTTCAAGGATAAAATAACTTCTTGCTAGCTACCATTTGTTTATTAACCCCATCCTCTTCAAGGCCCTAGACAACTTTTTTTGATTTTTGAGCTTAGCAACTTTGGAACATGAAGAAAACTCCATATTTAAGTATGTTCATATGTATGAGGAATGAGGATACTGTGCAGAAAGTTGCGGTGATTGGAGACTGGGAACAACAAAACCCCTAAAACGTTAGCCCCCCTAGCCCCAAACAGGAGGGCAATTAGTCAAATTTGTAATTTTTTTTTTTAATCTTAAACTTAATTTATATTTATCGTCAAATTTCAAATTTGATTCAATAACCTCTTGTTGATCGGCTTTTATGACCTTATAAAGTTTACAGCCCCCTCAATTTGAGAGAGGGGGAGGGGTGTAAAATTGGTCAAAAACCGCGTTACGTAATTTATTTGTTTTTTATTTTTATTTTTATATTTGACTAATGTTTTAAACTAATGACGTAAAAAGCTATGTAATATATTACGACATGCGTTTAAAAGAATATTTGAATTGTTTTCGTTGCAATCACCAACACCTTTAACCTTTTTCTACTTTAAAAACGGTTCAATCAAAGAGATATAATTGCTATATCTCTTTGGTACAATATAGATAACAGCTCAATCGTTCAATATAGATAACAAAAATTTTCCATTTTCTAATTATTAAAATAACAAATCGAGTTACAGTAATATTTATGACAACAAATAAATAATCTTGAATTAAAAATAGTTTAGTTTTTAACAGAAATAAAATTTTATAATTTTACGTCAATTATGTTTTAAATAATTTGACAAAATATTTAGTAACCATTCTAAGAATAAGGTAATTTTACAATCTTTTTTAATGCATTCTCTAAACTAATTACGCATAATAGGTCTTGTCTTGATTTGTTTTCGCTAACAGACTAAACTGGAGGTAAAACTTGCCAAGAATTACGTTTTTTTGTAATTTTCACAACACGATCAAAATAATTCAGGATGTCTAAAATAAACAGTTTACTTATATGCATTACAAATTTATATATATATATTATATATATATATATATATATATATATATATATATATATATATATATATATATATATATATATACAGGGGAAAGTAATTTAGGTCCTCAATTTCTGAATTTGGGCAGCGCCCAAATCGGCGTTCAAATACGGTCGGCGCTGTCTAAAATGATCTAAAATAACCCCTGTAACCCCTGATATATATTTATATCTTTTTGTTAACCATCCCATGAGATCAAGTTAAATTTGGATTCATAACTCCAAATTACTTGTAAAATATTGTTTTCATCAACGGCAGGAGATGTTTTTTTTTTGTTTTTTTGATATTTATATGGCTTCTTCCTTGATATTTATATGGCTTCTTCCTGCAATTCTTTTTCATAATCTGTAGAAAAAGTTTCTGTAGGTTTTACAATTATTTACCAAATTCTTAATAAAGTTTCCTTTAGAAATTTGTCCAATGTCATTTTACAACGCACATATTGCTATACATTATTAAAAATTAATCAATATCTTATGTATTACACATATTTCATGAGTTACATATGTAAATATATGTTTATGTTATCTTACGTTTTACATATGTAAATATAATTTTAAATGTAAACTTAAAAAAATTTTAATTTTTTTAGCAAAACATCAAAAAAATAAAATACTAAATAAAATTTGTGTGCCAATAAATACTTTGCTTATAATATAACACCACACTGTGGACCAGAAAGCATATTAAGTTTGATGGAATGTCACCTGGAATTTTTTCACTGATTATTTTTATCATTATAGTAACATGATTTAATGATTAAAATTAGTTTAACTTGCTAAGACAGTAAAATTGTCAAATTAATTTGCACATAAAATGTGCTAATGAGTTAGCAAAATTAAATTGTATTTCAAATTTTATTTAGAAGAACTCTTTATTTGCCAGATAATCATTTAAACTATATTTTAAATTCACTTAAAAAAGTTACTATACTAAAATTCAATATACTAGAGAGCATCAGAGCGCTTCTCCGTTAATAAAAATTGTCTGGATTTGAATCTTTGCCTAAAATAATAATATTCATTAAATAAAAATACCAAATATATTGCCTATATATGTCTGGAAACAGTTTCTTACATGATTCAGTTTGAGCAGTGTGTTGGGTTTCCTTGAATTTTCAAACAGTCATGGAACTGCAAGTCTCACTTGAACTTTCAAACAGTCAACTGCAAGTCTCTCTTGAACTTTCAAACAGTCAACTGCAAGTCTCTCTTGAACTTTCAAACAGTCAACTGCAAGTCTCTCTTGAACTTTCAAACAGTCAACTGCAAGTCTCTCTTGAACTTTCAAACAGTCAACTGCAAGTCTCTCTTGAACTTTCAAACAGTCAACTGCAAGTCTCTCTTGAACTTTCAAACAGTCAACTGCAAGTCTCTCTTGAACTTTCAAACAGTCAACTGCAAGTCTCTCTTGAACTTTCAAACAGTCAACTGCAAGTCTCTCTTGAACTTTCAAACAGTCAACTGCAAGTCTCTCTTGAACTTTCAAACAGTCAACTGCAAGTCTCTCTTGAACTTTCTGACAATTCAACAAAAAAAATTTGTTCTACAACTAGAACTGGATATAAATGGAAGAGACTCTGTGGAATGAAATATAGTTCAAAAACTAGATAATCTTAAAGTTCAACTTGATGAATTTTATAGTGTAGAGGAAGTTGAATTTGTTTCTAACCAGAATGAACCTATCATAAGAAATTTAATTTATATTAAAAATCCCTCTGTTTTAATTCTGCATATTATTAAAGAAAGAGGTATAAGTCCATGTCAGGTTTTGTAAGAGTTTCTTTAGATGGTGAAGGAGGCTACCTAAAATTTGCTGTGAATGTTTTTGAGGAAGAAAAAGAATCTGAAAATAAATTTCAAAATAGTGGAGTTCAAAAAGCTCTTAGTTTAGACATTGTTGAAGATATTCCTAAAAAATATGAAAACCTTAGATTAGTGCTTGAGAAACTTAATCTAGAAGATTTAAACTACTATATTGCTATTGATCTTAAATATGCTAATGTATTATTTGGTCTTTCATGACACTCAGGTAAAAAGCTTGTGATGTAGTGGCAAATGTACTCTTGATTTTGGAACTCCCAGAATTATTGGTGATCTTGATTCCTATTATGAAGCATATATTAAAAATGGATCCATCAGTTCTTCCATAAAGGAATTTGATATTGTGAACAAATGCCCAGCATATTTTCACACCAATATCAAACACTTCACTAGAAAATTCTGTCGGTCCACCTGAGCTAGACCTTCTTATTGGAGCAGTGGATAAGATAGCAGGATATCTTTTAACTGAGTAGAATGGTTTTGAGTTGTGGTTAAAAAAACACTAAAAAATTAAAAGAGGATATCATGGAGTTGGATGGGATGTAATTTTAAATTTATATATATCAATAAATTTTAAAATAAAATTTTAAAATTACTTGATTAATAATCAATAAATTTTAAAATAAAATTTTAAAATTACTTGATTCACTTCAACTTGAAGTGTAACTTAAAGTACCATATCTACTTCCAATAACTCCAATCAAATTGAAGTGCAACTTAAAGTACCAACTTCCAATAACTCCAATCAACTTAATAAAATAATAAAACTTAATAAAAACTTAAAAAGCTTAATAACTTTTAAAACTGTAAAAGAAGCTTGTTTCAGAAAAAATCTTTTCATTCTCAGATTCTGACTCAGAAGACAAAATATCATTGTTTAAAGATGCTTTTCTATGCCTACAAGAAACAGCTTTTTTGCTTGGAAAGAAACTAACAGTTTCATGGAAAATCAACATTATATGTTACCATGTTTTTCCTTTTGTAAATAATGCAGCATGTGGCTTGTCAAAGTATGCAGAACAGTGTGGTGTTCATTCATGCAAAGTTTAAGCCTACATGGCAACGATATAAACGCAGTATAGATCATAAAGATTATTGAGATAGATTGAAAATTGATTTAGGAATTAAAAGATTATAAAATTTTATATTGAAATTATATCAAGTAAAAATTTTCTATATCACTATATTGTTAAATAAAGCTTATAAAAAATCATGGAATTGGAGCAAATTTTTTTCAAGTGGACTAATAAAACTCAAAAATTTTGACAACCCTGTCCCAACTTTGTTAAATGTGTTTTTGAAAAAAAAAATTATACTGATGTAAACTAAATCAAAAATAATCAAAAGATTAAATTAAAATAAAATTTTAAATTTCGTTAAAAAACACTTTGATATTTAGGAGGAGAGGCTATGTAAAATTAACAACCCCCTCATTTTTTAATTTTTTTTTTTTTTTTTTTTTTTTTTACTCTTACCAAGTGAAACTAATTTTAAATATGATTAAATCATGTTGGTATAATGAAAAGAATACTTTATCAGCAAATAAATCCAAGGTGACACTCAAACCTAATATGGTCTCTGGTCCACAGTGACCAGTATGCTGTTGTTGTTTTTTAAAACAATAATTCTTTAGTAAAATCATGCACAAATACATATAAAAATCTTTATAATAGCAGTACTCTTTGATGTACATTTAAATCTTTTACAGTTTTTATAAAATAGGAGTAAATAGGAGTAAACAGATAAGTTAAACAGAAAAAAATTATATATATATATATATATATATATATATATATATATGTATATATATATATATATATATATATATATATATATATATATATATATATATATATATATATATATATATATATATATATTTCAAAAACAATGAAAATTTCAAGCTGAAGACACAAAGAAAGTGGTGCCCATGCAAGTAAAATATGCTCTGGAAAACATAAAAAAAAGCTAATAAATTAAAAAGAGAAATAAAAAAGCTTGCATGGGTCTGTTACTGCTAATAAACTATTATTAGGGTCATTGGATAAGTGGTTGCTAAGGCAGGTAAATAAGTCCTTGATAGTAGCTTGTTTCTCTACCCAGAAGCATTTTTCAACAAAGTTTCAGAGGTTGATGTTGTAGAGTCTAGTTGTTGAGAGAAGTAAGAACAGTTAAAAAAAAAAAAAATGAGTTCCTCAACTGTAGTGGCCCTATGCCTTTAGAGGGCGAATACAGTATTTATATATAACTCTGTGTTTACATTGTTATTAAAACCATTCTTTTACTTTAAACATTCTCTAATGTATTGTTTATTAGTGGCTTTCTTCCAAAATAACATATAGGCTCAAAGTAAAGGGAAGATGCATATAATTCGTTGTTTTTTGGCACAAAATTTTAATAGATAGAGTTGCTCAACCAAGTCTAATAAATTGTTCTACCTTATTTTATAATCCAAAATAAAAATGATTAGCACAAAAAAGCTTAAAACTACTTAAAACTGGATCTACCTTTTTTATACACTAAACTATTTTTTATAAAACAAATTTATAACAGCCATAAAAACTTAAAAAAATAAAGTTTAAAAAAAACAACGCAATATAAGCCATTATTTGGAAATGCAATAGTAAAAATTGTACAAATGAAAAAAAAAAGAAGTTCTTAATTATAAAACTATTAAATATTATTTAATTAGTAACAACCACTAACGCCACAACAGCTGATGATGTTACTTATATTAGATCTAGTATTAACTAAATGATTTTAATTTATAGGAGGATCAAAGTAAATCAATAAAGCCTATTAAGTGCAACAATAATTTATAATAAGAAGGATTTTGAGCTCAAAAACTTTTTTTTGATTGATATGGTTCATAATACATTTTGTTTTTTACCTAATGATATTGTTCACAATTTCCAGTTAACTCTGATTCTGAACAGGTATATATATTTTGTCCGACTTAGCAAATTGTCCGACTTAGCAAATGTTAAGCGAAGCTTTTGGTATGTATAGAGAATTCATGGGGAATTGAAAATTTGTCAGACTTAGTAAAAGTCTGACTTATCCAGGGTCCGAGTTAACAGGATTCTACTGTAGATTAAATATTTTAATAATAATAGATTAAATACTAATTTTATTCTATTATAAAATTATTTTTTTATTTATTTCAACAATATTAATTACATCACATTATTTGTGTTTTGTGTCAAAAAATGTTTTTATTTTTGTAAAATATTATGAAAAAAAAAAGATTTCATGTTCCACCATATTTTAAATGCATCTTTTTATTATAATGCAACATTCGAACGCTATTCAAGTTAAAGTTAAAACTAAATCAGTGTAAATTCAAGTTAAAACTAAATCAGTTTAAATTTAAGTTAAAACTAAATCAGTTTAAATTAAAACATGTGTAAATTTATAAAAAATAGACTAATTAAAAGCTTAATACAAAACCATATGAAAGAACAAAAAGAATTTTTTTTTTTTTTAATCTATTAAAATTGTTTTTATTTGTTTTCAGTTGATGTTGCTTTTTTTATCAGTTACATAACTAAATAATTAAATAACTAATTGCAGGTTATTACATTTTAAATCATCTTATAAAACAGTTTAGTCTCACAGGACCCAGTTTAGTAAGTTTTGTTTTTGTTTGTATTTGATTTTTTAAATAAGGTATAAAGACATAAAACACCATTTTGTTTTATGTTTCCATATCATATTGAAATTAAGATGAACACATTTCACTGCATAGATACACACAAAATATTTTTCTTAACATTTTCTTGTGTTTATTTCATGTTATAAAGTCACTTTAATATTTAATGAAAAAAAAAAATAATAATAGTTTTTTATGCTAAAAGCTTTTTTTTTTTTTTTCTACCTTCACCTGAGGATTAAAAAAAAAATCTTCTTTATTGCTTATTTGTGCATTTTATATACAAGTGTATATAAAATTATTAGTGTATATAAAATTATAATATTATATAGTGTATATATTATATACAAATGCGCTAACAAATAAGATTGCACTTTTACATAGCAAAGAACCAATTAAATTGTGTGGTTTCTAAAAAGTTTGCAACTCCTGCAAAGCCTAATTTCCTCTATAGAATTTGCGTTTTATTTTATCTTTTTATAAAGTAATTTAAGTTTTATATAAGTAATATTCTTAATTAATTTTTTTACACCGTCACTTGCAAGACTTGATTGGGTTCGCCACGGTATGAGCATAGTTGTATTTGATAGATATATCATTCAAGTGCATTTTTATATTACTATTTATTAATAAAACACTACTTACTCTGTTAGTATTGCTGATATCGCTGCTAACTTGGCAGCTTTGAGTCTCCCTCTCACAGTCAACTGTAAATAAAAAATATTTGCTGAAATTTGAATATAATATTCATTTATACTAAAAAGTAAATTGAAAGAATCTAAACTTGTAAAAATTGTCATTTTCAAGCATGAATCTTAAATTTAAAAAATCAACTAATAACTAATTATTTTTTATTCCCTGTCTTAAAATTATCTTTTAGTCAACTTTTATAAAAAGTTAAAATAAAAAGGAGATAATTAAAGTATAAAGGAGTTTTAATTAAAATTGTTTTAACTATTATGCTAAACTTTTTTAAAATATTAAAGATTATTTATTAAATCATTATATAAAAAATCATATCATATTTTCAAAAACTATTTTTATAAAAAAATAAAAACAAAGATTTGCTACAGCTTCAAAGTCAAATAAAAAGATTTTTAACAATTTCTGTAACACATTCATATTAAATTATAAACAAGTTTTCCAACATTATCTAATTTGTATTTAATTATTATTTCTAAATTTTTATTAAACTTGTCTAATAAACTTTATAAATTTTCTGAAATTTTTTAGTTAAAACCATTTTTTCTTAAACCTTTTTTATTCAAGCTTTAATTTGATTTTAACTTTCATGAGAAAAGGTTGATTTGTTTTCAGCTTTCATGAGGAAAGGTCCTCATTCTATAAACAACAATTACCATTTTAAACATTATGTTGTCTTGTATATAATACAAATAATCATTTTGTTATCTCTTGAAGGTCTTAAAGATGCTTATCTAAAGAGTTTTATCTTGCGTTTTCTCATTATTTTATAATGAGAAATTATTTTTTTATATTATATTTTAAAATATATTTTATATTTAAATATTTAATGTATAAATGGAAATAGTAGTTCTCTACGAAATTTAGTTAATTGATAACTATAGGTACCAATGGATGATACGATAGTTCTGAAACTTATACTATCGCCAGAAGAAATCTCAGTTTCAAACGTATCGTATCATCCATTGGTACTTATAATTATCAATGTCAAAACACGTATTTTATAAATTCAATGATTTTAACAAAAATTTAAAAAATTGTCTTATTCATTACAATATTTACACATTTTGTGCTGAAGAGAAACTTTGAACTTTGAACTTGCCCTAGTTAACCTTTTTAATGACTGATTAAAAAGGTATTTAATGATAAGTAACGTTATTTCGATAGCGCCAAAGTCCAGAATATCTAAAATACCCACAATATAAAAAAAATAAGTAAGGATTTGATTCGAAATTTTAAAGCTTTGCAGGGTCCTAATATATATATATATATATATATATATATATATATATATATATATATATATATATATATATATATATATATATATATATATATATATATATATATATATATATATATATATATATAAAATATATATACAGACCTTGGCAGGAATAAATGAAAGCAGGAGCGGAGAAAAGCTCTCATAAAACAAACATGGCAAGCCATGAGAGCTGCTCCTCTAAACAGCTTTTTATGATAGCTTTTGGTTTTTGGGCGAGCTATCTGTTTAGTTATTAAACAAATCTATTATTAAATATAAAATTTAATTATACTCTTATTACAAGAATCTGCTTGTAATGTTATTGTTAACTGAATATATACATAATGAGCAAAAACAAAAATTTCTTAGACAAGCACTTTCTTTAGGTTTTCACACTACCTATCCATTTATTTAATAGAACTTTACTAAAAATAAACAATCACATTTTGTAATGAAAAAAAACAACCTGAAACTGGAACTTTGTTTTTTGTTTATTAAATGCACTATTCATGTTTTTTTATTAACATTATTATTATTTTTATTATATTATTATTTTTATTATATTATTATTGCAATTATTAATAATATCTTTTTAGGTCAATCTGGTACTCAAAAAAAAAAAAAAATTATGTAAAAGTTTTTAAAATCATATTTTTTTTATAAAAAAGATATTAAGGAAAAAAATACCTTCAAAAACTTGCATTTTTTTCATTTTTAGTTCAAAATTGAAAATTAAAAAAAAAAAATTAAAAAATAAGTTTTTATACGAAACAATTATTGTTTTCAAAATTTTTATATAATTTTCTCTCGAGTACCAGTTGACCAACTTTTGAAGAACCTTTTTTACATATATATATTAGGGACACTTTAAATGTTCAAGGGTCTTAGGACATCTCTTAAAATTAATTTTTGTTCAAAAATTAATGTAATTTAGTGTTAATTTATTATAAAGAATACATTTAGAACTCAGATAAGACATTTTTCAATGTACCCTAAAATATATATATACATATATATATATATATATATATATATATATATATATATATATATATATATATATATATATATATATATATATATATATATATATATATATATAATATATATATATATATATTCACGCATATATATATATATATATATATATATATATATACACACGCATATATATATATATACACGCATATATATATATATATATACACGCATATATATATATAATATATATATATATATATATATATATATATATATATATATATATATATATATATATATATATATATATATATATATATATATAAGAGTGCATTGAAAAATGTCTTATCTGAGTTCTAAATGTATTCTTTATAATAAATTAACACTAAATTACAAATCACGAAAATAAATTTCTATTGAGCAACCACAAACCTGAAGATTAGATACACGCGGTCGTAACAATAAAAAAAAGTTTTTTCCGTATAGGTTTTTTCTGTAGAGTTTCAATTGTATATAATTTTTTATACGAACAAACTATATTTGTATTTCACCTGATGATTGCAACAGCATAAAACTTAAAGTTGTGAAAATCACGTATTTTTTATTTTCTACTGTATATATATATATATATATATATATATATATATATATATATATATATATATATATATATATATATATATATATATATATATATATAAATTACATTTATTGTACAGTGCTAATAAAACCAACTCTGCTACAATTCGCTAACATTTCAATTCCTATTAAAATAAAAATTTATTTTTTATAAAAAAAATTTAATTACATTTATATAATTATAATTATATACAAAAATACTTGTAAGCAGAATATAAACTTGAACAATCTATTTCTTATTTTCTTAAAAAAAAAGTTTTAGGAAATAAAAAAAAATTATTTCTTTAAAATTGCTACTCACTTTATATTGATTTTTTTGTCTTTCTGTTGCATTTACAGGTTGAACAGATTGAACTAGAAGTATTACAGAGATTGTTAAGAAAACATAAAACAATTACAATAATACAATTTAATGTTATTATTATTATTAAATATATTTTAACAAATAAGGTAAATTCCTTAATTGTTAAAACCATTAAATACTAAATTGTATGTTTCAACTAACACTACACTCAAAAAAATCTTTCCTTTACTGGGAAGGAAAAAAATTTCCTTACTGGTTTTGCTGTAATTTCCTTCTTTTAAAGGAAAAGAAGGAAATTAAACTCTTACTTTAGGCAAACTAAATCATCCCTTTAATTTATTTCCTTAATTCAAGGGAATTCAATCATGGCTCAGCTGTAAAATAAGGAAACGCTTGAGAAATTTTACCTCGTGGTAAAAAAGAACTTCACAGTTCTATTGGAACAAAGGAGATTTAGTGTCTCTTATTGTTATAAATAAGTTCATCATAAATTTGTTTTCAGTTTAAAATGCAGGAAAATAAGAAAACCTAAAAAGAAAAATTTTCTTATTATCCTGTATTTTTTTATTTTAGTACTTTTAAAATACTTTTTTTTAAATTATTGAACTTCTTGTGTTGGAACTTATTCATAGCTTTTGCTTGATATAATCCAACTATTATTCTAATACTGGTATTAAAATAGCAACGTATAATAAAAGGCTTATTGTATTTTCAGTTTTAGATGTGATGTATTAAATGTTACTATTCAAATTTTTAAAACTATATTCAACTAGCAATAAACTAAAATGTAATTTTTTTTATTGAAGTAGTTCATTGAAAACTGTTCTTATTTTTACTTTTTTTTAACATGTTTTTTTATGTAGCTTGATTGTTGGAGTATCAGCTGTATGCATCCACCAAATAATTGTATGTAAAGGAGTTAGTAGATATGTTTAAACTGAATTTAGGTTTTCAGGTTTGTTATGCTTTTACTTTTTGCAGTATAATGATTAAAATTTGTTTTAATTTTTATATAATATGTACTTTTTTAAGCAACTTGATTGTTGGAGTATCAGTTGTACTTATCCATAAGATAATTGTATCTAATTGATTTAGTAGATAAATTTAAACTGAACTTAGGTTTTCAGGTTTGTTATGCTTTTACTTTTTGCTGAGTAATGATTAAAATTGCAATTAAATTTTTATTTTCTACTTTTTAATATTACTATAAATTAAGTTTTTTTTTTGTATTGAAATAGGTAATATTTTAACCCAAAAGGTAATAAGTAATATCTATTGAAAACTGTTTTTTATTTAGCTAAGTATTTTTTTATTAGTATTAATAAAGAGTTCTGGGTGTTTAACTCTTCACATGTTCAACCAAAATCAATTGGAAAAAAAAGTAGTTGTGTACAGGTACAATCAGGCATAGGTGGACTCTAATCGTCAAGTTAATACTTTTGTCTAGTAGCTACATAATTCAGAAAAGATCAGAACTATTAAAATATTTTTTAAAATATTTTTAAAAAATTTAGTTTGATTTTACATTGTTTTGTCTGCATAAAGTCTTTTGGTGCTGTAAACTTAATAGTATGGCATTTAAAATAGGCGCATGCTGTGTATGCACTTAATGATGTTCCATGTGGCCAAAGTGACTGTGTCCTAAAAGATGTTCCAGTTTTTGCAATTTAAGAGCGCATATTTGCAAGTATCACCAGGATTTGATACATGCAAACAAAATAGAATCTATATGCAATTTTTCTAGCCAATATTTATTTAATGATATAAATGATGTCTTAAAAGATAAGCAATTGGAATTCAGTGTAGATTCTTTAGATAATAGAGATAGAGGCAACATACAAGATAGTATGCAGAGATAGAGGCAATATACAAGATAGTATGCAGAAATCATTTGTTTCAATTATTTCGAAATGTTACTTGTGTCCAAAATCTTTATGAAGATCTTGCAACTGTGACTACTTGCATTGATAAAAATGATAAAGAACATAAGCTGATAGTATATTTAAAAAAAATTATTTTCATATAGTTCCACAGCCAGTGTTTCTTGGAGTAAAGAAAGAGAAATGCAAATCAGTTTCATTAGGAAGTTACAAAATGAAAGACATACAGGATACTGCTCAATACATTCCTAATGAATTATTATTAGCACAAATAATAATTGAATATAACCATTACTCTATTAGTTTAAATAGCTATGACCATGCAAGTAATGATGAGAACATAACTAATTACTTTGACACTAACTCATACAAGCAACATCCCTATTTTTCTAAATTTCCTGATGCAATGGTTTTACATTTTTATATTAATGGGTTTGAAACAACAAACCCACTTGGTCCGCATACACAGATAAATAAAATGGAGGCTCTTTATATGACAGAGAGAAATTTACATTCCAAAATTCTCCAAGAATCTTCAATTTTTCTGGTGGGCAAGTAGTATGCTCTAGATGCTAAAGATAAAACACAGTCTTATGATATAATTCTTGCCCCATCAATAAACATGTTGAAGCAATTAGAATCTGACGAGGGTGTAAAAGTCTCTATATGCAATCAAACAATAAAAGTGCGAGCATCTCTAGCACTTTTTTTTTCTGCTGATAATTTGAGTTACCATTCATTGTTTGGATTTTTTTGAGAGCTTTAATGCATGAAAATTCTGTAGATTATGTGAAGTGATTAAGTAGGAAAGTCAAATCAAGTTTCTTGAAACTAATTATGTTAAAAAATCTAAAGATTAATTTATCAGTTAATACAGTTGGTCAAACCAATTATAAGGAGTTCGAAAGTGGAATTAAAAATAGGTGCATTTTTAATGAGCTAAACTTTCATGTTGTGGAAAATTTTGCTGTTGATGCAATGCATGATTTATTGGAAGGGATAGTTCCTATTGAATTAAGTGATGTGTATATATATAGTTATATATACACATGGTAGTTTAAGTGTTGATGGGTATATATATCTTAGCGAATTTAATTTGTTGTTGACTGAATTTAATTTTGACTCTTCTGACAGAAATAGTCAACCCACAACTTTTGTATCTTTTCAACGATTAAATGACTACTTCAGAATGCTGGTGCCTAATCCAAAATATACAATTCATTATCGGACAAAAATTTCCATGAGATGAACCATATTGAAATTTACTTTTGTTGCTTATGGATATTTTAGACATAGTGCTCCAAATGTTAATGTTGGGTTAGCAAGCTATTTGTCACACCTAATAGCAGAGCATCATCAAAGCTATCTCCAGTTAACACCTAAAATCACTTTCTTGTGCATTATCCTACGGCTCTACTGAAGAGTGGACCTCCATGCAGATACTGGTGCATGCAGTTCGAATCTTGATTTTTTTAAACAAGTTTCACAAAGTACCCACTTTAAAAAGATTGCATTTTCATTAAGCAAGTGGGGTCAACTTGCTTTAGCAAACCCTTTAATTTCTCACTCAGTATTCAGCAACTGCATCATCAATGGAATTGTTTGTTAATCAAGTTGAGCCTAGTGACATTAATCATTTTTTGCAGACTAATTTTTTATTATCTCAAACTAAAACAGTGCATCTTTTGAAATGGTTTGAAATTAGTCATTATAAAGGAAAGTGTTACGATTTGTAATTTTAATGATGGTATACCTGAGATTGGTTTTGTTGAAAGTGTTTTAAAAATTTACCTTAATAACACCTTTTTCATGATAATGCGGATGCTTACAGTTTACTACTTTGTCATTTTCATGGCTATTTAGTTAATTACAATCCACAATCAACACTTTTCTATAAGCCATTTTGTTATTTTAAGTAGTTTTGTATGTTTAAAATGTACCTTTTGTTGCTAAAAGTAAGCAATTATGTTTTTTACATTTTAAAATGTAACATACATGACCATAACATAAGCATACTTAATTGCATTCTTATTTTTTAGTTTTGTAATATTATTTTTTATAATGTATGTCTTCAATAGACAATTTTGATGACTTGGTTTTACTATTCTTGGTTTGTTCGAAAATGTTAATAAACTGTATATGCTCTAAATTTTAATTGTAGTTATTTTTTTAATTACTATCAAATATTTCATATATATATATATATATATATATATATATATATATATATATATATATATATATATATATATATATATATATATATATATATATATATATATATATATATATATATATATACATATATATATATATATATATATATATATATATATATATATATATATATATATATATATATATATATATATGTATATATATATATATATATATATGTATATATATATATATATATATATATATATATATATATATATATATGTATGTATATATGTATGTATATATGTATGTATATATATATATATATATATATATATATATATATATATATATATATATATATATATATATATATATATATATATATATATATATATATATATATATATATTAATGAATCTGTGTGTGTATAAATTATGTCAGTGTTTTCTACAAATACAGTTCTCAATGTTCTTAAAAACAGAGAAGTAGTAAATTAGTAAAAAAACACTTATCCATCTTTTTACTTTTTTTGCTGTTTTAACTTCAATAGGTTCATCAGGAAGCTGATAAACCTATTAAAAATCCTATAATAAGCATTAATATAACAAATAAATTGACTAATATGTATCATATAATGCATTATTCGACTAATATGCTAATGCTAATTTATATAGGAGTTATATTTATTTATTTCATTTGATTTTAAGTAGATTAAATCAATAAATAACCATTAAAAACAATTAAAATCTAAAAATTTAATTTTAATTATGATTTTTATTTAAATAGATTTAAATCAACTAATTCAAATCAACTGTTTTAAATCAAAACAACCCGGTTTTATATTCATTTATAGTTAATATTTTTATTTGTTTTCTAGTTAATATATTTAATGTTCTTTAATTTTTTTTTTAATATTTAGAATAGTTTTTTATTAATAAAAAATTTTAAACTTTTAAAACAGAATTTACATTAATATTTTACAACCATTTTGTTTAATATATTTAACTATTTTAAAACTATTTTGTTTTTAGTACACACAAAATTTGAGATTGATACAGATATCCCACTAAGGCTTGTTTTGGAATCTGATGGTTGTGAAATTGATCCAGAAGATTTCCTATTTGTGATATGCTCTGATACTTCGATTATTGTACTTCAACCAAATGAAAATTGGAATGAGGGAAAGTATTGCATTTAACCTCTAAATGAGGAATTACCCACTTTATTTGAATTTATCCACTTTATAAAATGAAGTAGGTAATTTCAAATAAAGTTATAAAATGGATTGGGTATTAAGTGGGTATTGCCAAAAAATATTTAAATATTTTTGCCTAATTTTTACAGACTGTGATATATTGCATTAAACAATTATTAAACAATTCCGTATTTAGAATGAGAGGAATTCAAATCCTTGTTATGGCAGCATCTGCTGCTGGAACTGATACTGGCCACGGTAGTAATATTACTGATGCCATTACTCCATCATTTCACATAGAGGTAACTCAAACCCCTTCTAAGGTTGTATCTAGTGTTTTTATGAGTCAAGCATCACTCAAGTCTTTTTTGCTCCAACATAGCAAGTCTAAGCAGCATGTGTTGCCCTTGAAAACTGTCTCCATCACCTATGTCACAGCTGCTAAAGTTTTTGAATTGTATGATTTTTACCCTCCAAAAGAAAGCTAAATATGGTAAGTGTATTCCTTTCAAGAATCACTGGTCTTAAACCAAAAAAATTTTTTAAGCCTAAATCTCACAAAGATTTTTGGCAAAATGCATTAAAAATGCTCGCAGAAAGCTTAATTGCAGCAAAAAATGCTGGACATGATCTCCAAAAAATGAACGAGGGGAACAAAATAGAAAAAATATTTGTGATAAAATTACTACATTAGAAATCCAAAAAATGGGTGGTGTATTCACAGAAGAATGATTTTTCATTTGTTGGTTGTTATAGAGGATTAGAAGTATGTGAATTTTGCGAAGGTATAATGTTTGTAAACACTTTTTTCATAGGTATAATGTTATAAAGTATATCGGTATAATATATAATAATATAAAGTTATGTTATAATATTAATAATAACAAGCAAAATGTATTATGTTTGTAGACACTTTTTTCATAGTGAATATGGTTCAAATGATTGTCATAAATCCAACCTATAAGATATTTTCATTTTTTATTTTAATGAAACAACAGGTGCTGATGTTAAAACTAAAACTTTAAACTGGCAACATTGTCTGCAACAGTATTTTCAAAAGACTCGCGAAGAAAACCTTTTGCTACAGACAGAAAAAATTGAACAAAGACATCTGTCATATCTTGAATATGCTCAGAAGATGCCATACCATTTGTTACTGCCACAACTGGTAAGTACAAACCACTATTTCTAATTTAAAATTAACTTTTAATTTAATTATAACTCTATTTACCAAAAGACACTTGAAATGAGTCATGTTTATTAATTTTTTTTTCATTAATTATCTTTTTCATATGGTTTTTATGCAGAGGATTGATGAGTATAAGGATGAATAGTTTTTTTTTTTAAGTTAAAATCTTATAGCTTTTGATTACAAACTGAAAATATTAGGATTTTTACTGTTATGGTATTTTTGAAATGCCTAACTTAAAAAATATATATTACTAATTGTTCTTTGTCCTGGACATATCTCATAGCGCATTATTGCCTATTGGACATAAGGTAATATGTGTCTCTGGTTTTGAAAGCTAGCTGTCAGTTAGACAACTTTTTTCCTTTTGTTAGGCAACTTAATAACAAATTAGTTTGTGGAAATATCACATTTTGTAAAAATGTGATATATGCCATTTTACTTTACCCATTTTACTATATTTACTAAATTTACTAAATCAATGATTTTGTGTTTAGTTGCTGCAAGATTTTAGACGCATGCGTCCAGATACAGCTGATAGTTTTATAACGCGCATGTTGATATTGGTTCCATCTATTCTTGCTTATTGTTTGAATTATGAATTTCTTATTTAGCCAATCAGCTCCATTTATCTAATGGAAAAACTGGCTCATCCAAAGTTGTATATCAAGCAATCTGCTGATGATAATAATCAGCTAAATGAAAGTATTGTTTGTGATGGCAAAGTCTGTGTGGCAGGATTTAACATGGTCGAGTGCATCGACTATTTGTTTAAAATGTTTTGGGTGTTTTCTTTAGAATATCCAAATGGATTGGAAATGTTTTTTAAATTCAACTAACAACTTTTTTTGTTGTTGTGTATATATATTTATTATTGTTAAAAATGTAACTACTTCTAAGTTGTGATCTCAAAAAAATTTGTAAATCAATTATTTTCTTAATATAAAGAGAGTAAAACTTACTTTCAGTAAGCAGTTAGAGTAAAACTTACTTTCATTAAGAAGTTAGAGTAAAACTTACTTTCAGTAAGCAGTTAGAGTAAAACTTACTTTCAGTAAGCAGTTAGAGTAAAACTTACTTTCAGTAAGCAGTTAGAGTAAAACTTACTTTCAGTAAGCAGTTATAGTAAAACTTACTTTCAGTAAGCAGTTTGAGTAAAACTTACTTTCAGTATCAATTAGAGTAATACTTACTTTCAGTAAGGAGGTTTTACTCTAACTAATCTTTTTCTCAGTATCCTTTTTATCACAAAAATAACTGCCTAAAAATAACTTAATAGTATCATGTAAATTAATCAAATTTTGCCTTGCATCATCATCGTCTTACATCTAATGGATTTTTGTTATTTAAGAAAATTATTACTTATGGTTTCTTTATTTTAAGGGAATTCGTTTTGAGGAAAAAAATTTCCTTAAAAATCTATTTTCTTATTTCAAGGGAAGTTTTCCTAGTGTCAAATATAAGGGATTATTTGATTCATTTTTCCCTCAAATATAAGGAAAGATTTTTTTGATTGTAGTTATCTTTGTTAAAATCAAATATTTAAAATCATACAATTACCAATGTTTATAGTTAAAAGAAAATCAAATATTTAAAATCATTCAACTATTCATATTTATATTTGGTAAATTTAAAGGTATTTTAAGCTTTTTATCACCATTATCATTTAAATTAAAAAATATAATAAAAGATAAAAAATTAATTGAAAAGTTATTTTAACAACTTCACCACTTTTTAAGAATTTTTTGATTCAGAGTTTTTACACTTTAAACAAAATCATCAAACGCCAACCGTTGGAAGAAAAAATTAAAGTTAAATACAAAATTACCTGTTTTATTTTTGAATTCAAATTCTGTTTCCTTGAAAACAGTTGTTGAACTTTCATATGTCATTGATTGTTTGACCGAATCAACTGGGAGTGTTATGGCTGTCAATGATTTTTTATACTAAAATTAATATGAAAAATTTTTTTTTTTGCGTTATTTAAAACAATTACAATTATAACACTATTAACATCTATTATTGTCAATTATTTATAAACTTAATTATTATTTTTATTATTTACACTTATAGCTCACAAATCTATTATACTAATTTTTACAAACTTTTTAGTAAATTGAATTTAACATGAAAAAAAAACTTAACATAATATATGCTAAGTTTTTTTTTTTTTTTTAATGATTCAAAAGACACTGTTTCAGTTGTTCTAAAAACCAAAAAATTCTTGAAACGTTTATATTCAACATAAAAATAAATTCAAAAGTTTAAAACATCAAACTTGTTCATTCATTCAAACTGATTCTATGAAAAATTAATTACAATCACAATTTAAATTAATTTGTTTTCTTATTTACAGTTTTTTAATTCAAATTTTAAAGTTATTTTGTCATTAAATTTTTTCTTATCAAAAATCTTACAAGCTTGATTCTCAAACTAAAAAGTTACAATTTTGACTCTCAAATTCTTGTGATGAAAAAATGTTTCAATAGTCATTTTATTTTTATAACCTCCTATTTATTGAATAAATATATATATTTAATTTACTGTTATAAATAAAATTTATTTATAATAAGTTTTAATGTGTGTTTAGATAATATCTTTGACGCCACACTGAAGTAGCCTGCTGCCAGGAACTTCAGTACATACATCGACTATCTAATAGCCTGCTGTTGCAAAAGAGTGTTGCTTTATCGACTGAGTGCTTAGTATGCGGCAGCAATCTTTTCTTCTATTATTTTTTTTTGAAAATGCCATATGCTATAAAGATAAACAAAACTATTAACAACTTGTTATATAAATAATTGATGTTTAATCCTCATCCCTGGTAGTACTGCGCTTAACTTGTTTCTCAATGCAGCATTTTTTTTGTTCGTAATTTTAGATTTAAAAGGGTTGTTGAAAATTACAGTTGAAAAAAAGGAGTCTTTGACTTTAGTGGCCTCTTCAACTGTAAATTAAATAAAATCAAAAATAAATTTCAACAAAATAAATAAAATCTATGTACTTGAATATTAAATGGAAACATATACATAGCAACTAGATTCCATCTATATTAAAAACTTTGTCAAACAATTGAATTTTTTTTTAATCAAGGATTTAAAAAAAAGTTTTTAAGTATTCCATAACCTCTTCTGCAGTTTTGTCAATGTCTATAGGCTTTAGGGTAAATTGATTTTGGTAAAGGAAGTTTCTGTTTTGTTTTTTGCATTTCAGACTATTGAGTTTTTGGGTTTTTCATTTCTAGAAAAAATCAACTCTACAAACATGTTTTAACGTTTGTAGAGTTGCCCATTACCAAGTATTGTAAAACAATGTTTTACAATACTTGGTAATGGGCTTCCCCATACTTGCAATGCATTTACATTTTGAGAAAAATATGAGGTTGCTTGCAGCAACTTGTATTAACCAGGTTCAAGGTGGCAGACCACTGGCATTAACATCAGGTATTACATTTTATCTTGTATCATTTATACATAATCTTTGTAGCTTTTCTCTGAATCAACTTGTATAATTTCACATAGATACTTATTATTATAATTAAGTCATTTTTTAGGCCCCTTCAACAAGTTTGATGGGCCTAAGTTTGAAGTGTAAAAATAAGATTTATAGTTTGATGGGCCAACTAAAGTAACAGCTCAAGATTTTGTCAATATTCAACTTAATACAAGATGTCCAACCAAAAGAAAAAGAAAATTGGAATCAACACTGAATCCAGTTTCAAAAGTTAAAATAACAGAGTCTTTATTCAAAATTTCTTGCTATTGAAAGCACTATTGAAAACTTTTTTACACTTCAAAGGTACATGAATTGCGAAACAAAATTGAAAAAATCAGACAAAAAGTTTTCTAACCAATTACTAGCACTATACACAGATTATAAACTGTATGTAACAGAATGTAACATTATATATATTATATAACAGAAATCATCATTAAAAAAAATTTTTTTTTTGTGTCAATATAGTTGTTAAAGAATGTATTTAGTTAGTCCAATTATTTTTCTAATCATTTGCATTCTTTTAATAAAATTTTGAGTAATCACTCTCAAACTTAAATTTTTGTTTAGCTTTTCATAGTTTTAGTATAATTTAGTATAATTTGTATAATTTAGTATAATTTGACATAATTTATTTAAAATTTTCATTTTAAAAATTAAACTCAATGAGAAAATATAACAAAAAATCTGTTTGTCCTATTACTTTTAGACACTACTGTATATTAAAAAAGTCATTACATTAGATCCAAGAAACATTCTTTTTTACACCAACCTATCATCATGATCATTATTGTCAACTTTAAATCAAAAGACATTTTAAATCAAAGGAACTCTCTGAATGAAAATGCCTTCTTCTTTTGCAAATCATTTAAATTCTTAAATGAATGGTGGCTTAAATAATACGAGGAAAGAGATTAATAATACAAAGTTGTTTTCCATTACATAACTTTGATAAATTCAAATTTCTGAGCAGCATGATGTGTGTCCCAAATTTTAGAATCAAGTTGTGCAGTGAGCAACCTGGAAATTCCAAAGTGTCTAGAAACTTAATTGTGGAAGAAACTGCTTGAGCATTTGGCATCCAGACAGAAGAATTTAGAACTACAGGGCTCGAATTAAGTGGTCGCGAATTAGGATGTCGCGAATTGCGATATCTGGAAATGCTTCCGGTCTTTAAATTTTCAGCTTTTGAAATACCGTAAAACTGATTTGATCACTATACTCAATAGCTGTCATTCAATAAAAAATATTTACATTGATCTTGAATTTTTTTTTTTTTTTAAACATCTTCGCTTCCAACAAGGCTGCAAGCAACCACTAATTAGTGTTGGAAGTTACTGGAAGAGAAAAGATGAAGATTGTAGAGCAAGATAACGATTGACAGACGACTTAAAAGATTGCAAATTATATGAATCAGAAAAGCACGATGAAGGAAGCGAATTCCAAAGAACTGATGTTCAAGGAAAAAAACTAGACGAATAAGAGTTTTTGGAGCACTTAGGAACAGTAACAGAAAAAGGATGAGACTTAATTGAATGACGAGTAACACGAGAATGAATTTTAGAAGATGGTACAAGAGATGCTAGCTCTTTAGAGCAGTGCCAGTGAATTATGATTTAATATCATGTAATTTAATCATGTAATTTAATATTATTACTATTATTTTTATTATTATTAAAAATTATGATTTAAATATTTTTAATATCTTTATTCATTTTATAAAATATCAGATAAAACTAGAAAAATAAAGCATGATAAAGCATTATATAATTATTAAAAAACAACCGCTAATCACAACAATCTAAAGAAATTTAGCGGTGACCATATATATTAAATATATGATCACCGCTATATATTAGAAAAAGATATTTTAAAAAAGAAAATTGTTAAATAAGATATAAAACACTTTTATATCTTATTTAAATCTTATTCAGTAATTTCTTATAAATTAAATGCTCGTAGCTATTTTGCAGATATGTAAAATTGACACAAAATTAAAAGATATATAAAATATATATATATATATATTTATATATTAAAAAATATAAAAACTAATTTAAACTTTTTATAGTTATTTTAAAACAAAACAAAAAAATAATAACTTATTTTTAAATATACATTTTTTACTATTGTTTTTATTATCAATTAATTAATTTTTAATTTAAAACATTTATATTTTTAAATAAATAATTTGTTAAAATTTCCCCCTAAACAAAAATCAAAATTAATGTTTCATACAGGGGTCTGGAGTCGTAAAAAAAAAGTAATGTCCCCGACTCCAGTTATTGAAACTTTTTGAGTACAACTCTGGCTCCAGTTGTTGAAATTTTTTGAGTACTACTCCGACTCTGACTCTAACTCCGACTCCAACTCCAAAGCAAAATTTTTGAAAAATTCTTTGAATTCTTAAAAAAATATTGCGCGATAAGTTGAAATTTTTTTGACAAATTTATGCAATGTTCTTTGAGGTTTAGTATGAACATAAGGTTAATTGAATGTTTTGTACATGCACGGGCAATACCAAGAAATATTACTATCGGAGTCGGAGTTGCGATATTTTTTAGCGACTTCGACTCCGCTAAAATTGTTGCAACTCCGCAACTCCGACTTTACAGCCCTGGTTTCATACAATGCGCAAAAAATTTTAGCAAAATTTTTTATTAGTTGATTTTTTCATATAATGCTTCATACAATACACAAATAGTTTAAGCATAGTTTTGGTTGAATTTTAAATTACCGCTCAAATTTTTGGACATTTCGTAATAAAAATTTTTGTCTTTTTTTTCTATTTGTAATCCCTAAATTACCTATCCCTATATATATATAATTTTTGACTGTTATTATTTTTGCAGTAGTAAATTTATTGTTTTGTTTTTTCATTTATTTTTGCAACATGATAAATTGACCGTTTCATTAAAACAGTGTTTACAGTTTTTAATAAACTAAGAATCTAATGACCAGAAATATTTCCAAATATTGCAATTCATGATCACTTAATTTGACCCATGGAACTAATCATTGATTTTATTTACATTAAAATTTTATGTAGAAAAATTTCTGTCACACACCCTGTTATGGTTTCGAAAGCTAATAATGAGGAAACATTTTAGGTATTAGTTGATTTATTTTTCCATTGTCTGATTTTTACAGGATTAAGTGAGAAAACCATGAAAAACTTGGTAATTCTAGTTTCAAGGATATGAGAATATATGAAGATATGCTTTATATATAAGATAAATATAATACAGTTAATATATTTGTTTCATTAATTATTTTCATACAAACTTATTTTTTTCCTAATTCATTTTATATATATATATATATATATATATATATATATATATATATATATATATATATATATATATATATATATATATATATATATATATATATATATCATATTATTATAAGTTATAAAATAAAAAGTTTAAAAATACTTTTTTTTCTGCATTCATTCTGTCTCTCCCAGGACACTGGCTTACATTTACTTCTATGATCTCAGATCCAACTATAGTATCTCTAAAGTATCAATTATATATATATATATATATATATATATATATATATATATATATATATATATATATATATATATATATATATATATATATATATATATATATATATATATATATATATATATATATATATAATTGATACTATATATATATATATATATATATATATATATATATATATATATATATATATATATATAATTGATACTATATATATATATATATATATATATATATATATATATATATATATATATATATATATATATATATATATATATATATATATATATATATATATATATATATATATATATATATATAATTGATATAACATGTGATTAAAAAAAAAAATCGTAAAAATATTATTCATTTTCTGAAAAAAAAAACGAAGCTGAAAGATAATTACACATACTTGAAAACAAGCTGGCACACAATAATAATTGGAGATCTATCAATGCCCCATCTACATTGGGATGAACACCCAAATTTATATGTTTCTGAAAATGACGTAGAATCATAAATGCGCGGAACTGAGACAACTTTATATCCCATCTCATCTTTTAAATACACAGCATCTGTTAAACTGTTGACTTGCAATACATGATGGCGATTGGCTAGATCTATTCAAAGCACTGAAATTAATTTAATTATTTACAAGTTACACATTTTTTATTTATATATACACTAAACTAATATTAATTAAATTATTTATTTAAAAAAAAAAAAAATTTTTTTAGACATAAATAAAGAGAAAAAGAGAAAGATTTCATCATCATATTATTAATGATATGTAGATATTATTAGTGGCATGTAGAGTTAGTTTTGCAAAACGAAAGTAAAAAAAATAAAGAAATTCAAAATATAAATGCTTTTTCTATAGAAATTGTCAACCATTAATATTTAAAACAAGTATTTAAAAAAAAACTAACTTTCTTCTTTCTGCAAATGATTTGGACATCTCTCTACTATATTATTCTTTCCTTTATACATAAGAAAACTTTGCAGCTTGATCTTTTTAGGAAGTGAGATCACACTGAAGGGAAGAATTACAAACTGATCTGTTCTTACAAATAATTTGTTGAGTAATTTTGAATATGTGAGTGTACAACATTTAGTAGGTGGTTCTTCTTCGACAACAAAATTGAAATTAAAATTGTACCTAAGAACAACAATACTTTAACTATAAAAGTTAAATAATTAATTGAATTATGCACTACCATACTACCATTACACTACCTTAGGGAATATGCATCACCTATTCTTAGGGAATGCCCAGCATGTGCATAATCACTGTGTTCACATTTGCTGTTTTAAACTAATAAGTATAATCCTAAATATAGTACCTATATTTATAATCAATTTATTTTAATGCTGTAGTGATGCACTACACCAGTACCACATTGCATTAAGGTTTTGATATTCAATCCCCACCACATTCCTGGTAGTACCTTGCTCAACTTGTTTCTTTTTTTTTTTTTTTTGGAGTTATGGAGTTATGGAGTTAAGAGAAGATTGTTACTGCAATTAAGTAGCCTCTTCGTCTGTAGAGGCTTTCTCGGCTTTGGGGAGATGAATTAACATTATTAAAAAAAAATTAGGGTAAAGAAAGAATCAAAATTGGGAATATTGAGAAAAAAATCAAAAAAAATCTGTCTAATCTAAGAAAAAAATTTTTAAACTAAACCTTAAAAAAATCAAAATATTAAAAAAATAAATTATAAATTTTAACTTTAAAAGTAAAAAACACCTTCTAATTTGCACAGTTTTGGTGCCTCAATCATTGTGCACTACCCTGTCGAGGAAACACACTGTTTTGTTCAAATTATCAAAAATTTAATGAGTCAAGCGTATATACAACACATAAACATATGACAATAAATGTAAACATAGGACATAAAGGACAACATTAACATAGACAGAGGATAACCAAAAAGTTTGAAAAACATTTACGTGTATCTTTTTATTTATAAAAGTATTTAAAAAAATACAAATGTCAGATGTAAGTCACAGCCTTTAACTAAAAAAGCACACCCTAAATGGCAGCAGAGCACGAAGAAGGTATACTGGGTTACATGATACCAGTAGCAGGGTGATCGTGATGATCTTCAACATGACCTGACCTGGAATAGTTAAAGTTAAAACCTAAAGCTTTTATCAGTTTAATTTGCTTGTCATAAATTTGATGAACTAATGGTTTCTTTGTTCAAGTGTTAAAATGAATGATTGAAAATTCATTTGATAGCCTCATTAAAATTTTGTCACATCATCTTAGTGACATCATCATAGTACATATGTTTTAATAATCAGAAAGAATAAAAGTTGAATGCAGATATTATCTCAAGCATAGGAAGAGTGCAATCTAAAACAGTCAACCACCAATGAGAAACCCTTTGCTTCAGAGTGTTGTATGTGACACCTGTGATTTAAAATTTTTCTAGAAATGCATGAAGGTCTGTGCTAAACTTATAATCAATGTAGATATCATCCTGTAAATTTTCAACTGCCAAAAAAAGATGTTAACTTTTAACAACATTGTGTACATTATGAAAAATATCACCATCAATATCAAGTAAGTGAGAAATGGCTTTTCTTAATCTTGTTTCAAATTCACTTATTTGTCTCACTTTTACAATTTGTAGAATCTGATAAATTGACAACTTAATTCGTTGATTAAGTTTCTTTGCATCAGCTTTGAATAAATTGCATATAAATAATAGCATTAAAAAAGACTATAGACGTATTTTTTACAAAAACAAGCGATAATAATGCATAGTGTTTTGATAAAACTTTATTTGCGTTGTCACAAAAATATGCTACGAGTATACTAAGAACCTTCTTATTTTTTGCTGAGAAGCACTTCTCAGCAAAAAATAAGAATCATCTTGCTTATGAAGCGAGCGCTCTACCATCTCAGTGGTAGAGCGCTCGCTTCATAAGCAAGAGGTTTCAAGTTTGATTCCAACCACACCCCTGGTAACTAACTTGTTTCTCTGCGCAGAGGCCTTGTTCGCCAAAGTTCGTCTTTCGGAGTTATAGCGTTGAGAGAGGGTTATAACCACAAGTAGCTTCCTCATCTGTAGTGGCCTTTTTCGACCTTGGGGAGGTAATTACAAAAAAAGAAAAAAGAGAAAATCATTTTTATTTTTATATCAAAAACAAGCTCAGTATGAAAAACTTTATCAAAATTCATCTTAGAGCTTATATGAAGCAGTTGTTGCAAGTGTCAGAGCTTCTGCATTTGATGACCAGTCTTGAAAACTTACAATAGGTTTGTTAGGCTTTTTTACTCTATTTATGTTACTTATTATTTATTTATGCTATTTATTTTTAATTATTTATATATTTATATATATTAATTTATATTTACTATTAATTTCTGGAAATTTTAGGGATAAATATGATAATTAATATAATATAGTAATTCATTAATATAGCAATTCATTAATATAGTTTATTCATAAATATAATATAGTAATTCATTAATATAGTAATTCATTAATATTGCATATTAATTCTGATTTAAATATAAATGAAGACAATTACCTGCCTTTATAAGAGTTGTTAACCTGTGTGTTTGAACTCTGAGGAAAAAAAGAAATATACTTTAAATTAACCTTTAATAAAAATATTTATTTATAATTATAGTTAATATAGTTATTTTGAAATATAATAACTAAAGGATAGAGGATAATTCCAGCTCAAGTCAATTTACGCTTGGCACCATACCATCTCAGATTTTGCTGATTTTTGAAATACAAACTTGAGTTAATGAAAGAAAACTTCACTCCAAATTTTAGTATCAGACTCCATATGGTTTCAGAGATATTGATCCTCGGTCCCAATCTCTTTTTTGACTTTTTTTTTCAGCGCCATTTATTTTTTAGGCTCATTGCACAACACAATTAGCTTTAACTTATGAAATACTTGTTTAATAGTGGTCAAAATTTCTATCTAGCTTTTTTATGATGAGGAACTTAAAAATGATGGCTAAAACAAACACAAATTTAAGCTTCTATATGAAAAGCCAATTTTAAAATGGTGTAACACTTTTTGTAAGATTTTTGATGCCCTGTACAAAAAAATGTTTATTTTGAGATGCCTCAAAGATAAAATTCTGAAATTTTTTCCTAATGTTTTAAAGAAAGATGTTCAATTGGGATAATAAATAAAGAAATTTGTAACAAACATATGTAAAATCCCATGATATCAAGTAAGTTTCAAGTCCTAATAATGTGGAAAGTTGTTAATTAGTCGTTCTGGCATTCAATTTGATGAAAATGCAACAGTTTGCGTACACCATGAATATGTTTATTTAAAACATTACTCCACAGTCCACATAACTGTGGATTGTGATGTTGTGATGCTGTGATCCATTTAATTCACACAATGTAAAATGAAGAAAAGGTATTATTACTTAACCATGAAACTTTTTTAAAACTGTATTGTAATCATGTATAAACTAGCAGTAAGCAACCCGTAATACGCGTTGTTAGTAAATAAAATTAAAAAAAAAAATGCGTATAGAAAAGCCTAGAAACTACTTTAAAATAGAAAAGCCTCGAAAATGACGTAACTCGACTAATAATAATAATATTAAATTAGCGTATTCATATTATCAGATTATATACATTTTTGCAAAATACTCACTGAAACAGTAATTATCACTCATGTTTTTAGGAGGATGTAAAGAAATTAATATGCAACTTGCTAGGAAACTAAAAAATATTGATATTAATGTTATTCCTGGAGAAAAGATGTCCCTCATGTTTAATTAAATTGATGTCATTTAACGATGATGGACAAAGAGAACCGACTTGTAGCCAGATATACGAAGATGAAGATAATATTCTTAATAAAAACGAATTGTTAAATAAATTTCTTTTTTGATGACTATGAACATAAGTCCTTTTAAAATGCATGTTGTAAATAGTCACTCAAGAGTTGCTTTCGGCAAAAAAAAAAAGTTACATCTTCAAAAAACATTAATTAGGTATTGCAAGGACTTTAAATATAGATCATGAACAGTAAAGCCAAGAAGATTCCTTCAATAAATTATCTAAGGAAGTTAAAGGTAAAGCAAATGACATGTATATAATTATTAGAAAAATCAAAGAAAAAATATTAATTTCTAATCATAATCAGAAAATTTAACTACCAACACTGGTTCCAATTTCTTGGTCTCACAAAGATATAGAAAAAAAATTTAATGTTACTAATTATATGGTGTAGATATCACTCAAATTGCTGCAGAAAAATGGTATTTTATTTTTTCCTGAAGAAAAAAAAAAGGAAAAGAAATACCTTAAGAAACAGTAGGTAAAATTATTGAATTTCATTGTAATGATAAAAACAACATGCTAATGTCTAGTAAAAAAGATTTTGCTAGTATAGCTTGAAGATCTCACATGCAAAAGCATTTGATTCTCTCTAATCTAAAAGAGCTATATGCAAACTTTAAAACCTGTTATCCAGATGTAAAGAGTTGTTTTTCTAACTTTTGCTCACATCGTCCAAAATGGTGCATTACAGTAGAAGCATCTGGTACGAATGTGTGTGTGCACCTACCATCAAAATGTTAAGTTAATGATTAGTGCAGTTGAATTATCAAAGGATTATCACAAGCTTATTGATATGCTTGTTTGTGTAGGGCAAACAAGACTTGCATGATACATAGTTGTTCTTTGTGCCCAGAAGATTCTACATTAGTACATTATCTTGAATATAAGTTGTACTCTCAAGACGATATTGATGAAGATGATGATTATTGTATAGATTACAAACAATGGAAAACAACAGACCAACAGATCTGAGCTATTAAGTCTAACAAAAACGACAAGTAGTTTTATTAATACTTTAAAGAATAAGTTACAAAACGACTTGTTCATTCTTACATTGCAAAAAGTCAAGCTACTTTTTTAAGAAAGTTAAAAAATGAGTTAAGTAGTACTAAGGTCATTGTCCTTTGTGATTTCTCAGAAAATTATGAATTTATTGTACAAGACAAAATACAATGTTTTCACTGGAAAAAAATTCAAGCAACATTGCATCAAGAGTAATTTATTATAAAGAAAATAATGTCCTCAAATGTGATTCAATATGTTTTATCTCAGATGATTTACTGCATGATGTAGATATGGTTTATCATGCGATAAAGCTAACAATTGGTCATATTAAATAGGAATATCAAATAGGAAGTGTCCATTACTTTTCGGATGGGTGTGCTGGCCAAAACAAGAATTACAAACACTTCGTAAATATATGCCACCATGAACAAGATTTTGCTATGGTCTTTCTTTGCAACAAGTCATGGTAAATCATCTTGTGATGGTATTGGTGGGACTGTAAAAAGACTAACTTCAATTTCTAGCCTTCATCAAACAATAACAAATCATATTCTTACAGCATCTGCAATATTTAATTTTTGCCAAAATGAAATCATAGGAATTAATTTTTATTACATATCCAAGGAGTCAAACACAATAATTCAAAGAGAAATGGAGAAAAGATATACAACCGCAAAAAAGTTATCAGGCACTCGCAGCTATCACAATTCTGTTCCAATAAATAACACAAAAATTGGAACTAAAGTTGTTTCTGAACAATTAAAGTATTTATTTGTTTTTAATTTTCAAACTGATGAGACTATTAAAGAATTCTTGTCTAATATAAGCATTGGTGTGTTTGTATGTTTGATATATGATAAAAATCCATGGATCGGACTAGTTGAGGAAATTGATGTTGAAAATAAAGACTTTCAAGTTAGATTTATGCCTCCATGTTACCCTTCAAGGTCAGATTATTGAACTTCTAAAGATGATGTTTGTTGTGTTCCATCAACAAACTAATTGTTAATAATTAATATTCCAACAACTGTTACAGGAAGACAATACAAAATCAGTGAAATTGATCACCAGAGCATTAAAGATAGCTAGGCAAACTTTAAACCAGAGAACTAATTTGTTATCTGTCAAAGATTTTTAATTTTTTTTTTTTTTTAAATGTCGAAGATTGTTAATTCTTATTACCTTTTAGTTTTAATTTTTCTTATTGCAATTTAATTATTTCCATGGTTTTAGTGTAATTTTAATATTTTTTTTGGTTTATTGTTATAAGACTTTGAGTGCAAATAAATTTGATTTAAAAAAGAAAACCCTTCCAGATTTTTTGTATTATGGAATTTGTTACATATAGAACATTAGGAAAAAATTTCAGAAACATATCATTTAGGCATCTTGAGATAAACTTTTTTTTGTACGGGGCATCAAAAAATCTTAAAAAGAGTGTTACACTATTTTGAAATTAAATATTTATATAGAAGCTTAAATTTTTTTTACATTTTAGCCATGATTTTTGAGTTCCTCACTGTAAAAATAAGCTAGGTAGAAATTTTCATCACTATTGAACAAGTATTTCATAAGTTAAAGTTTATTGTGTTGTGCAATGAGCTTAAAAAATAAATGGTGCTGAAAAAAAAAAAGGTAAAAAAGAGATTGGGACCGAGTATCAATATTTCTGAAACCATAAGGAGTCTGATACTAAAATTTGGAGTAAAGTTTTCTTTTATTAATTTAAGCTTGTGCTCCAAAAATCAGCAAAATCTGAGATAGTGCAGAAATTTTTTTTTTAAGTTGATTTGACACGGAATGACCCTAAAGTAAATTTTTAGATTTGCTGATATATTGATTTGCTGATTGTCAGTATCATTATTAAAAAAAATTATCTTTTGTTTGAGGATCATTAAAAATGCTTGAAAACATTAGAATTTAAACGACTTTTTATGTTAAAAGTGTTTTTATTTATAGACTGCATAAATAAAGAAAAATTTAAATGCATAACTAAAAAAAATTTAAATGCATAATTAAAGTAAAATTGAAAAGCATAATTAGAGTAAAATTGAAAGGCATAAATAAAGTAAAATTTAAATTAGAATAAAAGTGTTACATCATAATATGAGTTTTATGTTGAATGCTAGTTTAGTTATAGACCAAATACCAAATAATATTTTTGGTAGTAATAAAAATCAGTACAGTTTGAAAATATATTAGCCTTATTTAAACAAAATGTTGAAAAAAGTCCTAAACAAAAAGTTGAAAAAAATCTTGCTAGAGTCTGATTGACACATTCTCCGCACTCCAGTAAGACAAAAGCTTTTCCATTAACTAATTTGTAATAATTAATTTTAAAGTTAAGAAAAGTCTTGTTACAGTGTAAACAATGGAATAAATAAAATTATTTTAAATATGGAAAAATAGGAAAATAAAGGATTATTTTTCGAAATTCCGCTATAATTGTGAACTTATATGATAAATAGAAAATTAAAAAAAAAAAAATCACAAAATGATTACAAGTATATAAAGAAAAATATATTGTTACATATATGTTTTGACTATGTTATAGTCACATGTTTACCTCTATTATATGTTTACCTCTATAACAAGTATATCAAGACAAATATTATGTTATATATATGTTTTGACTATGTTATAGTCACAAATATATGTATTGACTATGTTATTGTCTATAGACATTTATTGTCTATAGACATAGTCAATATAGACAAAGATATATTTTGAAAAACATATTTTTAAAAGTTGTTTTTTTATTAATACAAAACCAATACTACTTTTACAATCATTTGCATTACCATTACATCATCAACTTTTTGAAAGGTAAAATGCGAAATCAAACATGACAAAAACAACATCACATTATATATTTAGGCCCAATTAGGTTGGCACTGCTAGAGGCTGCTAGTTACTTTCTTCTAGTTAATTATGCTATTATATATAACCATTATAATTTATATTACCATTTATAATTTTTATTTTACTTTAATTACAAGTAGATAACTATTATTTTAAAAAGATTATTAAAAACAAGAAATCATACCGAGCTTGATAGTGTTTTATCTGAAAATAAAAAAAACTTTATAAATAAAACAAATAGGCAGAAGCACACCTAAGTCAGAAGATGCACATAGTGCATGCAGACACACCTAATAAATGTGTGTATTTAACCCCTATCTCCAGGGGCTGAAGTACGCACATCAAATGAGGATTTAGGTTTGTACAGAAAGTATCTACATATGAAAAAAATTAATTACACCCAAATAATTTCATTTCTTAATTAGTTTTCTTCTTAGGCTAAAGGAGGGTCACATAAATTTCTGTTTTTACTACAACTTTACACTTTTTTTTTACTTACCAACTTTGTTAAATATTAAACATCTTCTTATTATTACATTATGCAATGTATATATATTATTATAACATTTGGCAATGTCAACCCAAAAGCTGATCTATCTTTGTTTTGCTAAAGCATACCTAAATCTCTAAAACTGCCAACATAAATCTCCAAAAGTGTCGGCATGCAGCAATAAATAAATGTATATAACCAATTAATCATTAAGACTTTTCTACAGACTTGACATTATGGCACTCTTATGTCAACCTGAAATTCTTTGAATTTCACAAGTTGAAAACTTTTTTTTTTCAAATTAGTTGTTAAATGTTATTAAACAACTTAATTATTTAGGAATTAACAATTACAATTACTACAATTAAAAATGTTTTAAATATTGTTATTAAAAAAGGGATGAAAGATAAGAAAGAAAAGTGCAGAGAAGAAACAAAAAGACAGGAATTAAAGTGAAATAATGAAAGTGAAGTAACAAAATTAAAAACATAAAGTTTATTAATTAGTTATTATGAATAAACTAAAATAAATAAATAGGACCATAATCTGACAGGGGCAAACCCAGATTTGTTTTAGTACTGCTGGAGCGGTATGCCCAAAAAAAAGCTCCAGAAAGTTACTTTTTGGTTTAAAAATATAATTTATATAGCTTTTTGATTAAAAATATTTTTAAAAAATTTTGGTTTGCAATATGCATTTAAATAATTTTTAGTTTATTTTAACTACTTCACTTTTTATTCAGGGCAATAAAATGAATTAAAAAGCCATTGCTTTTTCACGAAATATTGTATTGTAACTGTCCTTCAGCAGTCTTTCTGTCTTACTTAAACTTATCTAAAAAAAACCTTTAGAAAAAATAAAAAAATCTTAACGAAAAAAAAAATTAAAAAAAATACTTAACTAAAGCAAAAACACACAAATATATATATATATATATATATATATATATATATATATATATATATATATATATATATATATATATATATATATATATATATATATATATATATATATATATAATATACAATATATATATATATATATATATAACCTAACTAAAGCAAAACTCATCAAACTAAAATGCTTAGTCTATTTAATTTACACATTAAAAAACCATTTCATTCTTTGTTTTAACATTTGTACTTTGTTTTTTTTTATTTAATAAGTTTCAAAAGATAAACATTTCTCATAAAAAATACATTATATAAATTTAAAAAATAACAGTTTATTAACACTTATTTTAAAAATTCATTAGAAGTGTTTTGTTACTTCATTGAAAAGCATTTTGATAATATAAAGGCATCTAAGATCAAACTTGTTTAACTGTAACGACTTTCTAAAACATTTATCTTTAATTTTGTTTATCTTTTCAAATGTATTGACTTTAATTATTTTTATATTAAAATTCGTTAAAGAAACTTTCGTTGTTGTAGATATCATCGTTTATAAAAACAAAACAATTTTTTATTTTTTAATAACGTTTATTTTAGAAATGAACACTTAAACAATTTATATATTATAAATTTATAAAATATACCCAATTGTCAATTATATTAAAAAAAAAAAAATTATCAGTAAATTGTTACTTTATTTAAAAGCGTTTCGCTAATATAAAAATATTTGTTAAGAAGTTTTGATGTAATTAATTTTACTTTTTCAGAATATTTTTTGTTTAGCATGTTTTTAAAATGTTTTTTGAAATAGCCGCGGTCAAATCGTCATAGCAAAATGTAACTTGCCTGGTCATATAAAGACGTGCGATCGCACATCTTCCTGTGAAAGACTGGTCCTTCGGTTACTAATGGAATGTTTGTTTAAAAAAAAAGAATGTTGTTACGAAACTTAATTTAAAAAACTTGTTACAAAACTTTATAACAATGGAATGTATAAAAAGTTTGCTTTTTCGAAAAATAGAACAATAGAGGAGTTATTTTTACATCTAACCTCAAGTGGAGAACACATATTTAATCAGAGTTCTCAAAATCTCTAAAAATTTTTGGTATGCTAAAAAAGACACCATCATTGATAAAAAAATGACTCTCTAATTATATAAAGTATTTATAAGACCACACTTTGAATATGTAGTGTCTGTTTAGGCACACTTTGAATATGTAATGTTTATTTAAAAACTTGTTGAGTCTGTTCAACATAAAGCAACAAAATGGACTTTAAGCTTGAGACATCTTCAATACTAAGAAAGATTAAAAAGAATAAATCTACCATCACTAGAGTTTCAGCGCCTACAATGCGATCTTATCCAAATCTTTAAACTAATACATCCATTTGATATAATTAATGATATATATCAACCAAAATTTATTAACTCCTAGTCACCTGGTCACTATCTTAAAATAAAGCGTGAATATGTTCCAAACTGTCTTCCAAGACACAACCAACTATATAATAGATCAGCAAAATACTGGAACGAACTACCTGAGCAAGTAACTTTCTACTTAACTGTCTTTTAAAATTAGACTAGATCACTGGTTGGGGATAAAACAGAACAAACATTTATAAAACTGGATGTTTATAGTAGGGTGTTTTCTCTGTTGCTGTATGTACATATTGTATTTTACGCCTGCAACTATAATAATGATAATAATAATAATAATAATAATAATAATAATAATATATAAATACATATACAGATATATACATTTATATATACATAAATATATATATATATATATATATATATATATATATATATATATATATATATATATATATATATATATATATATATATATATATATATATATATATATATATATATATATATATATATATATATATATATTGTAATGTTTTGTCTTTATATTTATTATAAAGAGAATTTGACTATGATATTTTATTTCAATATTTTCATATTAAATTATCACAACTAGTTTAAATATAAAACTCTGTATAGTTTCGCGTCGAAACTTCAACTACTCGAATTTAATTCAGCGCACTGGCTTTTAAGCGAGAATTTCCTCGTGCGGAATTCTCTCAAGGGAATACTTTCATTATAAGTTTTTTGTGCAATTCGCAAAAGGGAATTGCTTGTTTTGTAACCGCTAATTGCTATTCTGAATTGTTTTGCTTAACAATCATTATGCCTTCCTTCTTTTAAAAATGCATTTTGTAATCAATGTAATGTTTTGGCTTCCTCAAAATTCTTCCTGATCGCGTGACAATGTCATGGTCTAATGATTCATTTTGATTTGTATTTGTACCAATGTTTGTGTTATTCGACAGTTTTTTTTTACCAATGAATATGTCTTTTGATTCATTCATATCGCTTTCATTGTCGGATAAATTTACATCCCAATCTACTTCTTCTTTTGTTTTTAGTAGATGTCTTCTGTTTCTTCTAACAACGTTTCCATTTAGGGTTTTTACATTGAAACTTCGTTGTTGTTTGCTCTCAACAATTTTTCTCGGTTGCCATTTATTTCCATCATGTATACGAACACAGTCTCTATCGCTTTAGTTTTCCAATATTTTTGCGTTTTTGTCATAACATTTCTTCTGTAAGTTTTGAACTTTTTCACGATTCTTCTTAAATTTATTTACATCGATTGGATTTACTTGAAATAGTGACAGAGAAGTAGGAAGTGTTGATCTTAATCTTCTTCCACTTATGAGCTGAGCAGGTGACACAAGACCGTCAACAGGAGTTAATTCTAGTAGAGCTATGTAAAGATCTTGATTTGACCTTTTTGCTTTGTTTAGCAAGTTTTTTGCTATTTGCACGTCTCTCAGCCATTCCATTTGATTGTTGATACTGAGGGCTACTAGTTATATGTTTAAACTCCCACTCTTTACCGAATTTTTAGAATTCTGAAGATGTGAATTGTGCGCCGTTGTTGCTCCGTACTATCTGCGGTATACCAAGTCTGGAGAATATCATTTTTAGTTTCTTTATCACCGTTTGAGATGTTGAATGTAACCTTTCAATTTTCCAGTAACGACTATAATAGTCTACCACTATTATAAAATCCTGATTATTCCAGTGAAATAAGTCCGTTCCCACAATTTGAAACAGGTGATTTGGTATTTCGCTTAATATCATTAACTCCTTAGTTTGTTTTTTTGTGTATTCCAGACATGTTTCACACGACTTTACTAAATCTTCAATTTGTTTGTTAATGCCTGGCCAAAATACAGTTTCTCTTGCTCTCATTTTAGTTTTTTCAATCCCCATGTGTGCTAGATGTAGTATTTGAATTGTTGCTTTTCGCATTGATGTTGGAATTGAAATTCTTTGTCCTTTGAAAATTATTCCTTCTATGAGTGTCAGTTCCTCTTTAAACGACCAATAGGGTTTTACTGAGTCTTCAACCTTTCTTTTATCCTGCAGCCATCCATTTGTTATGTAATTTGCTACTACATTTAACGTAATATCTTTGAGCGTGTTTGTTTTTATTTCTTTGAGGTTTTCTTCTTATGAACAGTTTGCGTAAACCATATGCACTTGAGCGATCATTTCATCTTCCGGAATTTCTTCTTCAGTTTCATTGGTATGAGCTCTAGATAACGTATCTGCCAGAATCATTTCTTTACCAGCTTTATAAATTAAATCAATATCATATTTTTGCAATCTTAATAACATTCTCTGAAGACGCGGAGGAGTGTTTGCTAACAACTTCTTCATAATACTTTCCAACAGTTTATGATCACTGTTAACAGTTACTTTTTTTCCATATATATATTGGTGAAATCGCTC